ATCCTAATTTATCCTAGTGAATTGAATAGAGGCCCTTGGCAAATGTTTACTGAATGAAGAAACATTGAATTTAATAGCTCTGCAAGTTTCTCAATGACACCTACTTTTACAAGATATTCGAGTGAGAGAAAAAGGGGTGGGGGGAGTAATTTGTTTGCATGCAGATTTAAACCTAGATTAAATGGAAAATGATATTTTCCTGAAACAGGCCTTTCCCAGTAATAGGGATGTGAGGCTCATTACTGTGCCTGGTCAAGCAAACATTGCATATTCTAGTACCAAAAATGTGACTTCTTCAGCTTCTGTAATGGTAGAGAAATCATTAAAGCTGAAAATGAAAATATTCCTAATGAAAGGTTAGATGATGCCCTGGAAAGGCTATGGTCTCATGACTCTGTAGAACAGTTATTAACCATTTGTGTATGTGCTTGGCAGTCTGGTGAAACCTCTGGCCCCTTTCTCAGAATGTTTTAAAATGTATAAAATGCATAGGATTACAAAAGAAGTCAATCATATTGAAATATCCTTATCAAGAGGCATTGTCAAAACTTCGTAGACTCCAGGTTAAGAAACACTGCAGTGTAGAAGCCAAAAGCTAGTATTGTGAAATGATGAGATATCTGGAACTGCCATAAAGGTGATTGAATAATGGTCTTTTTAAGAGAGTAAGGCGCTTGGAGTTCTCTCCATTGGAATATTGGTTATATTCATTATAATCATTTCTAGAACCTCTGCCTCTCTGTCTCTCTCTCTCTCTCTCTCTGTGTCTCTCTCCTTCCCTCCTCTCAACTCTCCTACTCTCCTCTCCTCTCCCCCTTTCTGCTCCTCCCCCCTCCTCCCTTCCCCTCCCTTCCCTTCTTCTTCTTTTTCTGTCTCTGTTTCTCTGTTTCTGTGTCTATCTCTGTCTCTGTCTGTTTCTCTCTGCCTCTGTTTGTTTCTCTGTGTCTGTCTCTTTGTCTCTCTGTCTGTCTCTCTCTCATTGTCTCTCTTTTTCTCCCTTCCTCTCCCCTCCTTTTCTTTCTATCCCTGTCTGCAAGATGTAGCTATTCTAATAGGTGAAACGCATAAATAACCAAAAAGTAGCATCACACATAAAAAACTATACTGGTTGAAGGAATAACTTATCAAGTCTTTGACATACAAATGGTTTATCTTGGTTTAACTTTAATAATGCAAGAAATCTTGGTTTTTATTTTCCATATATAATGATTGTTCATTTTTCTATTTCAAAGACGTTGACAAATGGAAGGTTTTTTTTCTTTCATAAATGTCCTTTGAGTATTTAAAATGTCATTGACTTAGCATGTACACCAAAGATACATGGAATGTGCTCCAAAATGATCATTATTTTGTTTTGCAAAGGATTCCCAAATTATTGAGAATCTATTAAATTCAACATCATCCACTCATTTATTTTTTCTTTTCTTTTTTTTTTTTGGCTGGGCAATGGGGTTAAGTGACTTTCCCAGGGTCACACAGCTAGTAAGTGTTATGTGTCTGAGGCTGGATTTGAACTCAGGCCTCCTGAATCCAAGGCCAGTGCTCTATCCACTGTACCACCTAGCTGCCCCTCACTCATTTATTCTTGTACTTCTTTTTAGTGGGGGCAGAATAAGACCTATGATTTCACTGATGTAGGGAAATCACTGATGTAGAAACTCCCTCCTCCAAGGCAGGTACAGATTTTTTAAAAAATCAAATTCATCTGTAATTTTTAGTTTTAGAAATACATGGAGAAATTAAGTAATTTGAAAGCAGTCACAGTCAAAGATAGGACTTGAAACCAAATCTTATGATTTCCAAGTCTTCCACCTGCTGTGCTCCCTGCCTCTCTCAGTGTTTTTACATAGGGCACTATAATTTTCATATTAATCAAACTTTGTCTTTTTTGTATCATTTTCTAGAACAACTTCCTTCTCTTTAACTGGTATGTCAATCATTTTAATGATCTTCAAGGTTTTTTTTTAAATAAATTCTTCCTTCCCAACTTCCTTAACCACACTTTAAATAATTCAAGTGGATCTAGGATAGATAAAATATTCTGTAATAATGAGATATGTCCTGGCTGGTTAAGAAAATTTAGAGTTGCCACTCACTTTTAGGGAAAAAAACAGGCAAGAAGAAGTTAGAAATCTTATAATTTTTAAAAACTATTTAAATATTTTTGTAAATAAATATAGCTGGCAGTAATTTTGACTGCTAATAAAGGAATAGTTTGGATGCAAAAAATGAGTAATTCAAAATATGGATTACAGGTTCCTAAAGATTGTGAATTATTTTAGATTACTCAGTAGGTGACAACTGTCTTGCATTCTCTACTAACCATGGACTCAACAAATTTAAAAATTCCAATAAAACTACTATTAAGAAGATACTCTTGTATTTCAAAGCACATCTAGCTAAAAATCCCAGAAATTGTTTCAAATTGTGTAAATTTATCAAGCCTTAATTAATATTTTAATTAACTGTCACAGATTTTTTAAAGGCTCTTGAATAGTACCCTATATTCATTAAATGATTTTATCTTGGAAATTCAGTACAGCTTTTATAAAGGTCTTCCACTAAAGACTTACTTCAACATATCTTTGCATTATAGAGGTGAACCCTGGGTCCTTGAAGGTTTGATAGCGAAGTACAAGGCTTTTTAGCATCCTGCCAAGCTGGAAAAGCTTTGAGTATAAATCTAGTGAGAGACTATTATATTGTCCTAGGACAGGCATGACCAAGCTTAGAAGCCCATCAGCACATTAACTGTAGCCATAGTAACTGTTAAAAACCATTTACAAAAGTCAAGTCATAGAAGGCTCATTAGAACTGACATTGATTAGATAATATATTTAAGCCATTCTTTCAGTCTTTGAGCACTATATAAATGGCAACTATTGTTATTGTGATCAGTGATAGTGGACAGATTACTGAAACTGATGGAATTTCAAATCTTTGAAGTACTGACATTTTATGAAGACACAAAAAATAAAGCCAACTATATTAAATGCTCTGGTTCATAAGGGATCATCCACATAGACATATATACACACATGCACACACATTTTTGTGCATGTATGTATACATGTTTATCAACATGAATTACCTATTTTCAAAATTTTGGAAAACTATAAAAGAGACATTAAAATAATACCAATCATAACTACATAATTCTTCAAATGATTTAGAAAGCCTATCACAGGATCTTACAATGTCTCAGAATCATCATCATAAATTGTCCCTGTATACTAGATATCAGGAAATGCTGGTTCATAGAAAATTCTACTTGTCAAATTAGGAATAAAGAATAATTTCCTGTACTATGATTAAAAAATATGCAAAATCAAAACACAGATTTTTTAATAATTAAAATTTAACTAAACAGAACAAAAACTTGACTTACTATATTATAGTTCTACATCAAAATGACCATAAAATACAAATTTTTTGAGAATAATGAAATTAACTACAAAGACACATTTTTTTCTTTTTTCTTTTTTCTTTTCTTTTTTTTTTTGGCTAGGCAATGGGGTTAAGTGACTTGCCCAGGGTCACACAGCTAGTTAAATGTTAAGTGTTTGAGGCCAGATTTGAACTCAGGTTCTCCTGAATACAGGGCTGGTGCTCTATCCAGCCCTGTCCCTACAAAGACACATTTATCATTAATGATGATAATTTCTTCCTCTATGAAATGTTATGTTCCACTTATAGCCTTATTGTGTATGTTATGCAAAATCTGTTACATTAATAAGTTAAATTCACAAAGGTTTTTTGAACAAAATTTAAACTTTTGCATTTGCTAATTTCAAAATAAAAACTTTACACAATAATATATTTATTTAAAATTCACAAAGAATGACCCACAGAAAAAAACATTCTATATGTATTACTAGGAAAAAGAATTATGCATTTATCATAAAATGGTGACCAGATTTAGGATTAGCTATGGTTAGTGAGATCATTGTCTCCAAGAAAATGTGACTCAAATGGTTTCATACTTATAACAACCTACATTTTTGTCAAAATATTCATTTCAGAATATTATGGTTAATTTTCCTTAACCTACTTTTCTGAAAATATTTAGAATGCATACTATGTACTTATGATAGCTGATGATATGACTAATTAAACTACATTTTAATTATTCCAGTTTTCTTCCAAAATATTTAGTAGTGTTTCTCTTTTATCTAAATCCTAACACTAATGATGAAAATGAATAGTACTTCAAATGTTAATGTTTCTGGCTCAAACAAACCACACTATATGTATGCCACTTTCTTGGCATGGGAGTGGCAACCATACTCTTCATTTTACAGATGAGAATAGTGACGCAAAGGAGATGAGTGATTTATATAGGTCACATTAGAATTTAGCCTTACTCACAACTAGTTACTTTTCCACTTGACCAGACAAATGTTATTTTAGGGCTATTTAAGTTTTTTAATTTAGATTATTTTAACATGAATGAATTCAAATTAGGAACTTAATTTTTTTCTCCTTTCTTCCTTTTTCTCTATTTCCCAAGAAGGAATAATACATACAAGATAATTTAACAGAAAAAGACCACAAAATGTTCAACCATTAAAGTATGTTACATTTGCATTTGAGCCATTTACATTGTTTAAAATATCATAAATTTATTTAATTATATTCTTTTCCATTTTCTATTTATACCAACCTGTCACATATGTTCTATAAATACACATCAATGCACTCTCTAATAATCAAATGGAGCGTTCTTCCAACTTACCTCTTCAATTTATGTATATGAATAGAATGATGAACTCCTGAAGAGAGAGACTGGATTGGTCAGTCCTCTAATTAATTAGAGTTATATGGTAATAGCCAAAGGCACATAATTTGGGGTTGTATGCCTTTGCACAACAAAATTTAGAGCTTTATAAACTAAATCTATATACAAATATGACATTTTTATGGGCATCCCTTCATGATCCTCTATCTTATACAGTCAGTTCTAAGGTGATTGCAGCCAATAACAAAAATCTAGACTTATATTATGATCTCCTTTTACATAGCCTTTCATTCATTTAATATTTTTAGCATATTCAATACAAGTTGCACTGTTTTATTTACTCAAAATTCGTTGGAGAATTATTCAGGAGGTAGGAGAAGGAAACTGGAGAGGCAGAGATATAGAAAGAAGAGCAGAAGAGAAAGACAGAAATAATTGACAACAGAGACATTCATATGCATTTCTTTCTAGATGGAATTTTCCCATTGACAATGATAAAAATGAACTCCAGACCATCTCCGCTGTGTTCAACAAAACGACAAGCAGTACAGTTGCTTCAGCGTCTCGCACACACCCACAAACACAGCCCTTGTTCTAGAAATATTCCCCTTTCCAGACACAATATCTTTTGAAGAACTATGTGTATGAGGATTGAGAGAAGTCCCAGAAAAATAAGATATTTCATACTACCTCACATTAAATTTGTCTCCCATTTGAAGTTTTCAGTGCGGGCAAACTTTCATTTGTGCACTTTTCAAAACTAAATCCCCCAAGAATTCCTTAAGATAGTAATGAAATCTTCATCATCTGATATTCCAAAACTTAGTCCTTCATAGTAATCTTCAAATTCACAGTATAACACTTCACGGGGGTGACTACAGGCATTCTCTAGGGTTTCTATAAATGAAGATTTAATTTCTTCCTCTGTTGCACAACCTGAAAAACAGGAGTGGCTATAAAACAATCTTCTGAAGAATTGAATAAAATGCATTAGCTCTATTAAAAAAATTACTTGATCAGTTTATGAAATCACACTGTTAACAGCTTGAGATTATACATTAAACTACTGTCCAATTTATTTCAACATCTTCCCCATGAACTATAATTTATTGGTGATTGGAGGTTGCAAGGGAAACACAGGGAAGAAAATTCACAAGTGATGTTTATCAGTAAATATTTTAAGGGCTATTTAAAAGCTTTCAGTAAAGTTATTGCTGATTATACCGAGGTAAAATAATATGAACTCTATCCTTGGTTGGGTTTTTTGGGAGGTGGAGTATATAAGGAATACTCAATTTCAATTGTAAATGAAAGAAGAGATGTCTGAAAAGTTCCAATGATTTATAGACTTTTCAGAACAGCATGATCCATTGTGTAATGGATATCTTTAGACATTATTAAACTATTTATTCAAAAGACAATTGAAAAGCTTTGTGGAAATAGAAAACGAAGTACTAATGTATACTTTACAAGCTTAGGAAATTCTTAACTGAATGAGCTTCTGCTTGGCTAAGATTGTATTCAGTATTAATCTATTAATAAAGACTTTACAATCTAGGGTGAAGAACCTTCTCCCACTGAGAGTCACTGAACCATATTCTCAAAGAAAAATGATAGATGAAAAAATACATTTTACACATATTAGAGGGGAAGGGGGAAGCAATCAAGAGACACATACACACACAAACAAAAAAACAACTGGACTGGGTTCTTGTGTTACAGAAAGATAATTTTCCATTTATCTGGATTTTTTTACATTAAGAAAAGTAAACACAAAACATAAGACTATAGTTAATGAATGAAACAAATATTTATATCTCTATTTCAGTTTTGTATTACAGTTAAGGGAGAAAGAGGAGGAAGAGACAATGGAAGGGGAAGTAAAAATGAGGGTTTTGGAAGAGAAAATACACAGCCCAGGTGGTAGGAGAGAAAGAAATGAAGAGAGAAAGACAAAGAAAGATTCAGAGAAAAAAGAGACAGAGAGAGAGAAAATGTGACAGATGAAGAAAGAGCTTTGGTATATATGACAGAGAGAGAGAGAGACAGAGACAGAGACAGACAGAGAGACAGAGAGACAGAGAGACAGAGACAGATAAAAGAATACCTGGAATCCCAGGATTTTAGTCCACCCACTTTGACAAAGAGAGGGAAGTAGTCTGTTAAAGTTAAAAGAGTACAGGACATGGGATCAGATGACCTGGATGTTTGAACCTGCAACTTGCTGTGACTTCAAATAAATCACTTAAGCCCTCTGGGACTCAGGTTTCCTCCTCTGTAAAAGGATATAATTGGACTTACAGAACTAAAATGTCCCATCCAGCCCTAGGTCATGATGGTGCAAGTCTCCCTAAATTTCAGTTTCCTCTTCTGTATTGATAGACACACATCTGTGTTCTGTAAAATTGTTATGATGACTAAGATATCATACATGAAAACACTTTGTAATTAAAAAGCATCATAGAGAAAGAAATTAAAGGTTTAAGACAGACAAAGGAGCAATAAAAACTATTTGCTAATAATGACTGTTTATTTAGGTAAATCTAGACAATCAGCAAAGTTGCTTATTAAAACAATAACTTTAGCAAGATTGCAGGCAATGAAATAAACCTCAAATTGAAAATATTTCTGTATAAAAATGACAAAATCCCAAAGGCTATCACCGAAAGGGAAATACCATTCAAAATGTCTACAAAATGCTTAAAATAGTTGGCAATCAATCTGCCGAGCACAAAAAACACTTGTATACATTCAATTAAAAAGTGCTCCTCAAAAAAGTAAAGAATACCATAATTTAAGATATTCCATGTTCATGGCAGGGCCATGCCAATACAATAAAAATGACAATACTACCAAAGTTAAATAATAGTTTTACTGCTATACCAGTCAAATTATCAAAGGGATATCTTCATAGAACTTCTTTAAAATAATAAAATTCATTTACAGACACAAAGATCTAGAATATCAAGAGAAACAACTTTTTTGGGTTTTTTTGTTTTTGTTTTTTAGGCAATTGGGGTTAAGTGACTTGCCCAAGGCCACACAGCTAGTAAGTGTCAGGGTTTGGTCTGAGGCCAGATTTGAACTCAGGACCTCCTGACTTCAGGGCAGGTGCTTCGTCCACCACGCCACCTAGCTGCCCCTAAGAAACAACTTTTTTAAAAGTGAAAATGAAGGACTAGCACTTCCAACTATATTATATATAATAATAATATATATAATATAATTGTATATAATATGATATATACTAATATATCATCAATAATATATAAGATAATATATTAATATAATGTGATATATTATATTACAATTATATTATATAAAATAATATATAATTATATGTAAATAATATTATATTATAATAAACTATCTTATAAAGAAGAAATCATGAAAAACATTTTGAAACTGATTAAAAATAGAGGTTGAAATCTATGAAACAGCCTAGACAAGGGATAATTGGAAATAATAGAACTCAATTACCTTGAAAAGCTTAAAACATAAATTATTTAGGAAAGAACATCCAGTTTGATAAAAACTGTTGGGAAAACTAGAAAGCAATCTGACAGAATTTAGGCTTAATCTAATTTCCAAATCACTTAACCTATCTGCCTCAGTTTCTTCATCTTTAAAATGAAAATAATAATAGCATCTACCTACCAAAGTAGTTGAGCAGATACAATGAGATATCTGTAAAGTACATTGCAAACCTTAAAACCTATATAAATGATAACTTTTACAAACCATAAAACAACTTATGTTTGATATAGAATCTCTCTTAATATCCCTATTACAAGCTCAGTTTATAAAAATAGAATGACAAAGCCACAAATATTTTACTATATTTTTAAATTAATATAGTCTAACTAGTTAACCAAATGCTGATGATATTAGAAAGCTGGACAAAAAGGATTGTAGTACCATAGATATAGAATTGGAAGGAACCCTAGAGAGTCCAATGCCTTCTTTTTATATAGGAGGGAACTGAGACACAGAGAGATTAAGTGACTTCCCTAAGGTCACCATCATAAGGTGGCAGGGCCAGGTTTCCAACCCATCTTGTATAATCCCAACTTTTCCAACCACAATATAATGCCACAAATATTAAGTTTGTGTGTGTATCTTAAAAGAAATCTATATCTTGAGTAGTTTTTTTTTAACGTCTGTGTCTTAATATAATAATGAAACAAAAGGATGAAAATGTCTTTTTCTTAAATTAGTTCCACTTGCTAGGGTGTGCAACAAATACATCTTTTAGCAGTGTTACTTAGTTTCAAGTACTTTCTTCCCAATTACAATTTATAGAAGAATCTTATAATTTTAATTTTCAAATTTTGAAATAAGATTTGCCTTTTGTCACCTGCAACTGAGATCAGGCTTGGCTGATTTGTCTTAGAGATGAGCAAATTTCTGATAAATGAGTATCTTATTCTGCCAATAATGTTTTCCAGTGCCATTAAGCAGAAATTTATTTTGGAAATCTGATTTCTATTATGCCCTACAGTTTTTTTTTCCTTTGAAGGGATATTTAAGTCAAAGAATACCAAATAGTTTCCCAGAAACTAAGTGAAAATGTTGTATAAAAGTTTTAATTTGTAAATGACTGTTAACTATAAACAATTCATATACTGGAAAAGTCTATGAGTAGATTACTATTGATAATATATGAGATGAAAAGTTTCATTTTGCATTTTTTCCAGTTTGAAGATATAATAACAGCAAAGTCCAATATATGTTCTTTCATGTATTAAAGAGAAAAAGGGAAAGTCTTTTTTTTCCCTAATTAATGGCTTACAGATATCCAAAAATATAATTATGAGCCAAGTTTTAGAGGAGGTAGATTTTGAAAGAAAGACAAAATGTTTGAATCACCTATCTGAATCAAGAACAAGAAGAAAAGATACTAAATAAATTTCCAAATAAAAGCAGGTTATTTTCATCATTGAAGTCTCTATTGTGGCCAACAAAGATACCAAGACGTAAACCCTTGGAAGGAGGAAGAAAGAAATGGATAAATGGAGAGAAAGGATAGAAGGTGTAAACATGGTAGGATAGACAGCTGAAAGCAGTAACAGGCTCATTTAGCTCTGAAAGGAGTGGTTTGAACAATCCAACTTAGATTAGAACAGGAACAAAAAGCTGAAGGCCAGAATCAAATGACATAATTTGATAAATAACTTACGTATGAAAGAACTTTGCCAACTTTAAACTACTACATTAATACTAGCTTACTGGGGCAGCTAGATGGCACAGTGGATAGAGCATGGGCCCTGGATTCAGGAGGACCTGAGTTCAAATCTGGCCTCAGACACATAGCTGTGTGACCCTGGGCAAGTCATTCAATCCCATTGCCTAACCCTCCAAAAAAATAATAAAATACTAGCTTACAGCATAATTCAAAGTCATGACTTTGGACATAACTCTGATGCAAGTATTGAATGCCATCATACCTCTTTACTACTACATGGTTTAAGAGAGTACCACATTGGTCCCAGAGAGTAGAAGTAGCTCTCAATTAGGACCAAAATGACATCACTATGTTGGGATGCTGACCATGGCTGATCAAACTAATAAGAGCTCGGAAAGCTCACAAAAAGGTCAAAGTAGCCTCATAAGATGAATGGAAGCAGATTTTTTTTTCCAATGGAAGGAAAACCATCTTGACAATTAAAGATTTCCAGGAGTGAAAGCAGAGACTATATAACCATTTTTTGGAGCTGTTATAGCTTTTGTTTCTGACATAGGTTGGGATAGATGACCCATCAGATCTCTTCTAATTCTGACATTCCAGGATAATAGATTACAGCAATCTCCATGAGGGGAAAAAATTCGGTTAATTTTGTTTTTCAGCACATCCGAATGTTCATTCACATGGGCTATAGCCAGATTCAGTTAAGTGGTGGAGTGGATAGAACACCTACCCTAAAGTCAAAAGACATATAAGATTAAATACAGCCTCAGATACTGATATCTCAAATCTTTGAATGCGGTTCTTGTAACAGGCTGAATCTGTTTTCCAAGGACCAACCTAGATAGTGACACAGAGGCCCATCACCAGTAGACTAGACACCTAGTGATGAATTCTTTTGGCCAAGTGAACCCATGAAAAAAGAAAAAAAAATTAAATGGTCTTGAGTGCTATGCAGCCCCTTCTGCTTCTGCAGTGATAGTAGCAGAGTGTTGGGAAATGGGCCAGATGGTGTTTGGAATCACATTATTTTTAGATTGCTTATAAACTTCAATTTGATTATTGATACTCTGGATGAGAGATTCTTGTTCAATCACTAACAAGTGGACATATTAGGAGAAGAGCTAATTCATAACAATCTTGACATTCTTGCTGTAAATCAGGGGTTCTTAATTTGCAGTCCATAGACTCTCACTATTTCATCTCTTGAAAGGATTCATGGATAAATATCGGGGTCCATGAACATGTAAGCAGAAAAAAAAAATGACATCTTTTTTCACTAACCTCTAACCAAAATTTAGCACTTCCTTCATTTATAAATATAAGTAACAAATGTTCTTATAAAGGGTCCATAGATTTTTATCAGACTGTTAAAAGGGTCCAAGATATACAAAAGGATTAAAAACCCTTGTCATAGATGAAGCCAAAAGAAAGAGAAGGTTCAGCTGAGGATGGCTCACAAGCACTCCTTGGAGAAGCAAAGAAAGGAGTTGGCATAGTGGGTTTTATCCTACTCCCAATGACTACAAAAATATTATAGGGAACATTTGGTCCTTATCACATACTGCAATATGAATTATAAATATTTATTTTTTTTAAAAAAGCTACTGTAAAAATAATTGCAGCTTATACACCAACATCAGTTGCTGAGAATAAAATGGTAGAAAAATTCTTAGAGAAAACTTGACAATACTCACCAAAATCAAATTAAAATCCACTGGTAATTGGTTACTTCAATGCAAAGGTGGGAAAGAAGGATGTGGAAACTATATATGGTAAAATGTGGTTGAAGAGAAAGAAATGAGAGAGGCCAAAGATTTGTAGATTATACAGAACCTTCGCTGTTCTGTATAATGTCAGAACATTTTCTTCAAAAAACAAATGGGTAGGTATTGGACATGGTGAGCTTCAGATAATACCACAAAGAACGAAATTGTCTACCGTAGATCAGATGTAGTAAATTTGATGCACAGTGAGGGAAGAGAAGAGTGATTGGCCACAGTAATGCACATGGAAGTAAAGGAAACACAAGAATTAAAAAAGGATTGCAGTCTGGGGCCACTTAGTATAGGACCTACTAGGCCTGCGTAGCTCAATAATTAGACCTTAAAGAAAATCAGTGCATAGTAAAATAACTAATGTTCCTAATGATGACCAAATGGTTGGTTCAAATTCTGACTCAGTCATTACCTATAGGACCTTGGACAAGTGACTATGTCCCTGGGCCTCAGTTTCCTTATGCACAAAAGGAGGATTTTAGATTGGATAACATCTAAGTTGAAGATTCCTAATCTAGGCCTACTAACAAGTTGGTTTTGCTTGTTTGTTTTACTATTTCAATACAATTGGCACATAGAATTACCCTGTAATCCTATGTATTTTATTTTATACATTTGAGAAAAAAAAAACATTATTCTGAAAAGGGGTACATAGGCTTCCCAAAACTGTCAAAGGGATCCAGGACACAAAAGGCTAATAACTCTACTATAGGTCTTTAAAGTTGTATATCATATGATTCTATGACCCAAGGTCATTAGGATAATGTTAAAAATCTATAGTTACATTTGGTGTTTAATGAGGCAGAGATTTATATATTTTTTAAAGCTTTCTGTCCAAAATGCTAAAAAAAAAATGAAAAGGCTATTAATTAAAAGAATAAGCTTCTGTTATCTGGAAAATTCATTTATTTAAAATATTTCATTCCCTGGTGATACTAGATTAATAAGGCATTACTATATAATGATCTTAGGAAAGCCAATTTTACAGAAGACTCTAAGTTATATATCTTATATTTGTGAATTTTATTTATAATCTGCTTCACTTTGCCCAAGACATTCTGGGTCAATTCTAAAGGACTTATGTGTCTGGGTAAGAAATCACTTGTTCAACCTGCCCTCTCCTCATATTCAAGGGACTACTTCAGTTCCTTTCAGGTTGGTTCAGTCTGCTTCAATCTGTTCATATTAAATACAGGGATGCTATTTTTCTATGTGGGAGCTCTATATTTTTCTATGGTGGGTAATTAGCTATAGCAACCAAAAAATGGGGGGGGGGGCGGGCAATAAAGGAAAGCTTAGTTGTCTCCAAAGACTCTCCAACAGAAATCTATGAAAATCTGCTCCCATCAGTCTCTCCTTCTGTCAGGCCATATCACTCATACTTTGGGTGCTTAAATTTCTACTGCCTCTGGGATAGAAAAGTTTTAATAAGTATGCCTTTGCCAATATTCCTTTTCCTCATTTATCCCAGACCTGGATAATTCAAATTAACAAGTCATGTAACAGGAAAATTAGGTGTTTTTGTTTAAAGACTCCTAAGAAAACTTTCCTGTTCTTGGTGACTTTGAGTGACATTTTCACCACAGGTAAGTCCTTGAAAGGACTTCATTATAACCAGAGAGCCCTGGTAGCCTCATAATGTGTGCTAATTTCCTAGATTAGAAGATTCCAAGTTCTTTGTGATGGGATAATTAAAGAAGAGGAAGAGGGGTTTTAGGTGTACTGTTCTCTCTCTCTTTCCTTGTCTCTCATCCAACCTTTAAGCCAAACCATTTTTTTAAGAAACAACAAGGACCTCTACTCATTTAGGGACTAGATGTCAAGTCAAGATGGTTGATGGTCCAAGACAAAAGGACTTAAAACCTTCTCAAAGTGTTTTCCCAAAAGGCCAATACATATTTTCCCCTGAAATGTCATCATCTTTGCACTTAAGTCAATCAAAAAGTCAAAGACAAAATTCAATTTGGTAATAAGATAAACTACCTTGCATCAAATTTCAGGTTGCAGGTAAACAAAGTTGATGTGACTTGAAATAGGACAATGAGAAAATGGGACCATAATTTGCTTTAAACTTCTTTACTCAGTTTTATAGCTTGTAACCTCATGTTTCAAAGCATGATCCAAACCAGTTCTAAGTCTGGGATTAATAGAGGAAACCAAAACAATGACAGTAACTCTTGTTTGAAGAATGAAAAAGAGGAGACTTACAACCTGCATGTTAAAACTATCATATAACTAGAGCTACTCATTTAGAGGAAACTTGAGTGATCATACACATGCATCCTTATAAGTGACCATTCTTTCTTTTCCACCTGATCCTTCAATAGTAAGGTAGAGAGAAGCATTTATCTGGGTGTGCCCAACTTTACTGTCTACTTTGTTTTTACTTAACTAACTTTCTGACTAGCTAGTTCCCCAACAGAAAATAAAAGATTCTGGACTAAATAGATTCTAGAATAAAAGGTTCCAAATAAAAGAAAGGCAACAAATATCCTTTTCAGAGAATTTCAAAAACAGAATGGGCAAACATAGCCTCAGGTGCAGACTAAGAATATTAACTAACAATGAATTGCAACAAATTTTAAAACATATGAATTAATTAAATAACAATGAATTACAACAAATTTTAAAACATGTTTTTATAAACAACAACCTAGAAGCCAGATGTATTTGGGCTTATATCACTCACCTGATATCACATGAGGGTGTTTCTTTGCACAGTAGCATTTTCTGATATCTACCATGCTCACACTGCCAGTTTTGGTGAAGTCCAATTTCATATAGGCCTAAATAAAGAGAGAAGGCTACCAATTGGCATGAAATGCCTGGAAATAGTAAGTAAATGATCTTGTCTTTGCTTCAGACAAGACATTCCTAAAGTACCGAAATGGCATTTAGGGCAGGAGGCATGGTGGGTGCAGCAGGAAGAATCTTGAACTGGAAGTCAGGAAATCAACATGCCAGTCTGGGCTCTGCCTAACTGCACCTATCCACACTTTGGGAAAGTTTCTAAATCTCTGTAGACACTTTAGTTCCCTCATTTGTAAAAAGACAGAATAGGACTAATGTCTAAGGTCCCTTGTAGATCTAAGATTCTATAAATTATGTAAATAGTTTATATAAATTTACTTGTAAGATGTGTAATTAGAAAAAATGAGATTGTAAATATTGTGTAAATTATTTAATGGCATCAATTTTTTTGTTGTTGTTGTTATTGACTTTGTTTTAGTAGCATCCGACTCTGTGTCCCCATTTGGGGTTCTCTTGGCAAAGACACTGGAGTGGTTTGCCATTTCCTTCTCCAGATCATTTGACAGATGAGGAAACAGAGGCAAACAGGATCACACAGCTAGTAAGTGTCCGAGTTCAAATTTGAACTCAGGTCTTCCTGACTCCAGGCTCAGCAGTTTATCCACTGTATCACCTAGCTACCCACACAGTATCAATAATAATAGTTTCTGTGCTCAACCCAACTTTGAATAACAAAAGAGGTTTTAAGGATAGAAGAAACCATCTTCTATCAGTTACATGGGGAATGATAATATTCCCATTTTTCAAATAGCAAAATAGGCATCTAGACTTGCACAAGATACCATCTCAGAAAAGCCACTGCTAAAACAAAATTCTACAAATCACAACTGTGTCCTTTCTTCACTCTGCAGAGGAAGCTAGATGGTACAGTGGATGAAGTACTGGGTCTGGTGCCAGAAAGATCTGAATTCAAATCCAGCCTCGGACACTTACTAAGCTGTATGACCCTTGGACAAATCACCTAACCTCTTTCTATCTCAGTTTCCTCAACTGTCCAATAAGAATAAGACTAGCATCTACCACACAGGGCTGTTGTGAGGACAAAATGAGATCATAATGCCTGCCACAGAGTAGGCACTTACTCAATGCTAGTTCCCTTCCTACTCCTTCATTAAGAAATGCTACAATGCATCTTCTCAATCGGCCCTAGGTCAGAAGAAGATCTAAGGAAACACTAGGAGAAGGAACAGAGAAAAAAGCAGAAGCAATAATCACACTTGCTAGCCCTACTCCTGCTGCCAGATGGCAAGGTGAAGGAGCAGAATGGGGAATTTCAAACTCAACAATAGAAAGATGGGGTGTTAGTCTCCTGGGTAGCTATCATCCTACAAGTGGTGAATGGATACACCATTCATTGTAAGTGTTTTCCTGGTCAATAGGATATAGATTTTTTTTTTCAGCCTGGGATTAATATCCCATATAATTGCCCAGATAAGTACACTCTGGAAATTACTACCAAAAATCATAACATTGATCACAGTGCCTGCTTCAGTCAGGGCTTGGTTGTGCCTGTTTAATTTCCCTACTTGAAGAAGATAAACAATCAACTCAATAGAGAAAAAAAAAAAGCAGTAATGGGAGGAAGAAGGCAACAAATCCAGAATGTACTTGTCTGTCATCAGTCCTTGGGCTATGGTAATCATAAAACAGCTTTCTGGAAAAAGTCATTTTTAGCAAGAATGAATCAGAGGTGATTTCCTAGAAAGGGGGTGGGAGGGTTGATTCTCTGATAGCGACTGAAATAGCAGTTGAAGAGGCCAGAGTAAAGTCAAAGAATATCGAATCAGAAAGGCCCAAATTAGAATCTAATTGTACAAAAGAGCAAAGATATCCAGGATTTTTAGAAAAGAGAAATGAACCTAAATTTGATCAACGCTTACTTCTATTATTAAAATGAAGCAAGAATTGTTCTTCAAGTAATTAAATGCTCGGGCATTATTTGCTCTTATCATACTGTTTTAAGGACTCTTGGAAATTGTCTAGTGTAGGCCTAGACCTTTTAAATGACATGCCCAGGGCCACACAGAAAGTGAAAGAACCAGCATTATAGCTAAGGTGTGTTGACTTAAATATCTAGTATTCTTTTTCACCATATCAGCAACTAATATGTAAAATTAATTTCAAAATCTCTTTCTCTTTTTTTAAGTGTGTCTCTCTATCTCACATGCAGGTTGGAAATATAGCAGTCAGGGGGCAGCTAGGTGGCACAGTGGATAGAGCACCGGCCCTGGATTCAGGAGAACCTGAGTTCAAATCCGGCCTCAGACACATAACACTTACTAGCTATGTGACCCTGGGCAAATCACTTAACCCCATTGCCTAGCCAAAAAAAAAAAGAAAAAGAAATATAGCAGTCATTCAGTAGCCCAACCCCACTGCTGATTAGCTTGGAAGCTTTGACATGCAATGTTTCTAACCTGGGCCAATATGCCCTTCCTTCAGTTGCTGGTGCCCTCCTCCCTCTTCCAGAATCTCGCCATATCCATGCCAAAGTTAGGACAGACAACCAATCAGCCATAACCCTCAGAATTCCTGAGCTCAAGTGATCCACCAGCACAGATGCCCTAAGATTAAAAGCATGTGCCACCATGCCAAGCCCAAATTCTGCTAAGAACATAAGGATGTTTAGCTTCTTTTTAATATCTATCTTAAAGACTCTTGTGAGAAGTTCTATCACAAACCAAAAAGAAATAAGTAAAATATGTTAATTGATCAAAATACGTAACAAAGAATCTAATTCTGTACTTGACAAAACCATTTAAAAAGATTATTCTAAACAAACTTACTTTTCGAAGAAATGTCTTTCTGTATTCATTCATTTCACCAAAAATGGCACGTTTGAATTCTCCAAAATCAACTTGATCATTACCATTGATATCCAGAATTAACCACAAATCTTCAAAGTCCTAGAAATTAAAATCAGTAAGCTATTTAATTTAAAAACTACATTTAAAAAGTCATCACAACAAAGTCTAACTAATTGCAGCTAGTGGTAAGCAAGTCACTTAGCTCCTATGGGATCAAAAGATATGAACAGTTTTCAGATGAAGTAATCAAAGTTATCTATAACCGTATGAAAAAAAAATGTTCTAACTCATTACTAATTGGAGAAATGCAAATTAAAACAATTCTGAGGTACTACCTTATAGCTGTTAGATTGGCTAATAGCAGAGGAAAGAAAAATGACAAATGGTAAAGGGGATGTGGGAAAAATGAGACATTAATGCACTGTTGGTGGAGTTGTGAACTGATTCAACCATTCTGCAGAGCAATTTGGAATTATGCCCAAAGTGCTATAAAACTATGCATACCCTTTAGCCTAGCAATACCACTACTAGGTCTGTATCCCAAAGAGATTAAAACACCAAAAGGAAAAGGACCTATATGCACAAAAGTATCTATAGCAACTCTTTTCTGGTGACAAAGAATTGGAAATTGAGGGGATATTCATCAATTGGGGAAAGGCTGAATGAGTTGTGGTACATGGTATGTGATTATGATGGAATACTACTGTGCTATAAGAAATGATGAGCAGGATGCTCTCAGCAAAACCTGGAAAGACTTACATGGGCTGATGCAAAGTGAAATGTACTGTGTACAAAGTAACAGCAATATTGTAAGATAATCAGCTATGAATGACTTAGCTATTCTCAGCAATACAACAATCGAAGACAACTCTGAAGGACTTATCATGAAAAATGCTATCCATCCCCAGAAAAAGAACTGATGATGTCTAAATACAGATTGAAGCATACTTTATTTTACTTTCTTTATATTTCTTGAGGATTTTTGTGGTCTATGTTTTCTTTCACAGCATGACTATTATGGAAATGTTTTGCATGACTATACATATATAGCCTACACCAAATTGCTTGCTTTCTCAATGGTGGAGGTGGGCCGGGGGGAAGGAAGGGAAAGCATTTGGAACTCAAAGTTTTAAAAATTATTATTAATAATTGTTTTACATGTAACTGGGGAAAAATAAAATACTAAATAGATCCCATGGAGACTCTTTAATTAAAAAAATATTTTGTGATGCCAGTAACTATTTGCCACTTCAATTTATCTATTTTATAGCTAAAGTTTTATTCACAATAAATTCATTTTGATCTGTGATAGTTAAGATACACAAGTATGTTGGTTAATGGAGAATTTGAATGAATCTTAACTTTTCATGCATATCAATGATCTATAATTTATGTGTAATGAGACTAATCATGAACTCTCTCCTCTCCCATGTGCCATGATTACAGCATGTCTAATTGGAGTATGCAGGGAACTGAGCTGGGCTCCCTTGGCCACTTACAGTGGGTCACATGTACCCTGAACTCAGCTCCATGAATCTTTGAATGTTCTTGCCTGAGCTCATGGTGGAGGGGGTGATTCACGATTATGCTTATCATGACCTAAAGAAATATCACTGTATCATCAACACTATATCTTGATAGATCCAATAATAAATAAAATAATAAATAAAAATAAAAATAGATCCAATTTCAGTCATGTAAAAATCAAAATCGATAAAATTGCGCTTCTGGTTTTAATATAAAGTGTTTTGAAAGTATGCTTAAATTCATCTTCTATATTGATTCTTCCACCCACATAATATTAAGACTACCAGCTTTCAAAAAATTGGAGCGCAATAGCACACATCCATTAAAACAGGATTAGATTATTTTCTCTGAAGACTTAGAAGGCAGTTCAGCATCTTGCAGATATGTCACAGCATATCAAATATCTTTGTATTAAAGACATAGATGTGGATAAAGCGTAGTTTGGAATAAGTTCTTACTGACCCTGGCATAGACACCAGAAGGAGCATTACAAAGAAACTGTGTGAGGCCAGCTAGATGGCGCAGTGGATAGAGCACTGAGCCTAGATTCAGGAAGACTCTTCTTCCTAAATTCAAATCCATCCTCAGCTAGCTATGTGACCTTGGGCAAGTCACTTCATTCTGTTTGCTTCATTTTCCTCATCTTTAAAATAAGCTAGAGAAGGAAATAGCAAACCACTCTAGTATCTTTGCCAAGAAAACCCCAAATGGGGTCACAGAGAGCTGGACACAACTAAATGGCCAAACAACAGGGGCAGTTAGGTGGCACAGTGGATAGAGGTCTGGCCTTGGAGTCAGGAGGACCTGAGTTCAAATCCAGCCTAGGACCCTTGACACTTACTAGCTGTGTGACTCTGGGTAAGTCACTTAACCCAGATTGTCTCACCAAAAAGCAAAAACAAAAATAAAAACAAACAAAAAAAGTGTAATATCAGGGGGTGGGCAGAAAGGAGAGAGACAGAGACAGAGAGAGAATATAAGCATTTATATAGTACCTGCTATGTGGCAGATTACAAATATCTCACTTGATCCTCACAACAGCCCTGGGAGGTAGGGGCTGTTATTACCTCCATTTTACAGTTGAGGAAATTAAGACAACCATAGCTTAAGCGACTAGCCCAGGGTCTCACAGCTATTTATATCTGAGGCTGGATTTGAACTCAGGTCTTCCTGATTTTAGGCCCAATGACCTATTCACTGTGCCACAGAGTTATCCATTTATCAGTGTATTTCTCACTTGTGCCATTCATCTATTTACAAATTGTCAGTTAGTAGTGAATTCTGGTTAATTTAAGGCAAGATAAAATTTTACTGTATGATTTTCTAGCACTTAGCAAGGTGTTTTGTACCTTGTTGTCTTTCAGTCATTCAGTCATGTCCAATCATTCGTGAACCTGTGGACCCCAGCACATCGATGTTGTCCATGGGGTTTTCCTAGCAAACATAGTGAAGTGGTTTGCTTCCCCAGTGGATTAAGGCAAACAGAGATTAAGGTACTTGCCCAGGGTTGCACAACTAGTAAGTGTCTGAGGCTGGATTTGAACTCAGGTCTTCCTGACTTCGAGTCCAACACTCTTATCTACCAAGCCACCTCGCTGCCTCCTATGTACTTAATAAATGTTTTTTTCATTTATTTACAAAATGCGATCTCGGTTAAATTTCTCTGTTGAGTAAATTTTTCCTACCAAATCCAAACCATAAATTGTACAAATCACAAGAAACATTGCAAAAAAAAAAAAAAACAAAAAAGAAGCCCTCAAATTATCTAGCCATCCGAGAACTTCCAAGAACTCTCGAAAGTACAAATGCTTTCATCCACCGTAAAGCCCTGCTATCTCAGCTGGACCCTCACTGCTGCTTACCAAACTTTTACTCAACTCTCACTGGTTCTCTTTCACACCGTCTAAAATCATTGTTCCAAATTTCTTCCTCTTTTCTCCAAACCTGACCCTATTCTTGAGGATTCTGTAACCTCCCACTTTCCTGAGAATATCAAAGCCATGTGACATTATAGAATAGAATTGCATCTTAATTCAAATCCTGATTCTTCTACTGGTTACCATGGGCAAGCCAGCTCACCTCTACATCCCAACATTTTCTCATCTGTGAAACGAGGATATTAAACTAGATCAGGGGTGGGGAACCTGCGGCCTCGAGGCAACATATGGTCCTCCAGATCCTCGAGTGCTGCCCTCTGTCTGAATCCAAACTTCACCGTGAGTTTCACTGTGAGGAGGTCCCCACTCCTGGACTAGATAATATCTAAGGCCCCTTCCAGCCCTAAATCCTTTGATCCTATCATTTACCTTCTTTCATTCATCAAATTTTTTTCTACCTTCACTTGTTATTTCTTCCTTTCCTTTTGCCTCAGATATTGTTACTCATAGTCAAATGATCAATAATCAAATGATAACATCTGCAAAATGCTTAGCATAGGACCTAGTACATAGTAGGTACTTAACAAATGCTTGTTACCTTCCCACCCCTTTGCTAAGGCTAACACTTCCACCTATTCCCTTGATCTCAAACTCTTCCCTTACTCCTCCAAGACTGTGCTCCATAAATCAGTCCACCTTTTTCATATGATTCTTCCGTTTCTAATTTTTCATTGGCTCCTTCTCCTTTGCTTAAAATCCTACTCAAGTCTTAACTATACTTTAAAAAAATTCCTTCCCTTTACTTTCTTATTTGCCCCTTCCCTTACCCTGACAAACTTATCAAAAACATTGACTAAAACCTACTTTCTCATCCTAGCAGGCAGCTAGGTGACTCAGTGGATAGCATGCCAGGAAAACTCATCTTCCTGAATTCAAATCCAACCTCAGATATTTACTAGCTGTATGACTCTGGGAAAGTCACTTCACCCTGTCTGCCTCAATTTCATCATTTGTAAAATGAGCTGGAGAAGGGAGTGGCAAACCACTCCAGTATCTTTCCCAAGAAAACCCCAAATGGGGTCACAAAGAGTTGGATATGACTGAAAAATGACTGAACAACAACTTACCTATACTTTAAAACATTTATTCACTCTACTCTCTTTCTTGTCCCCTCGAACTCTTACCTATGTCTTTATTCCCTTACACTGACAAACTTATGAAGAGTTGCCTCCACTCACTCAACTCTCAGTTCCCTGCACCCAGTCCTCCATGTCCACCACTCTGCTGAATACAACTAGTTACCTGCAAATTGCCATATCTAATGATTTTTTCCCCTTTGATTTTGATCATTCTCAACCTCTCTGCAGCAGAGAGTACTGCTGACTCTTAACCTTAATTCTATTTTTCCTCTCTTATGTTTTATTCTTTGTCATTGGGTCAATGAAGAGAAGGAAATATTAAGTTGATGTAAACTATCAAATGCATTAATAGAATATTTTTGTCTAAATATTTTAAGAAAAACAATAATTATCATAACCGTTTTCCAGATGAGGAAATTGAAGATTGAAGAAAATAAGTAATTTGCTTAATTACCAGAGCCAGGCCTTGAATATGTACCTATCTTGACATCAAGATCCGGCGTTTTCTACAATTCTGTTCTTCCTCTCAGCCGACAGGATGACTCGGGGGAATTTTTCGTGAGAGTAAAACCATGAGCAGATAGGGAAAAAATGACCAAATTTTGCCAAAGGGACACAATGCTATCTTTGCTCCAGCTATTCCTTGTATGGTACCATCACAATGGATACAGTGCTCAGGTTCTCAACTCAGCATGTTGGGTGAAAATCTTGTGTAAGACAAAATTCTCCTTGAAAAATCCTTTGCAACACCCTAAAATGCAGTATGTTATCATTTGTGGCTAGGAAGGGAATAGAGTCAGTCTCTGTCAGAGTGCAGATGATTCTGAGATTGTTACTAAGGAAACAATTAAATGCAAATTTTATTTCACAATATCCAGCTGAGCTTTTTGAGCAGGAGGAGGGAACTAGAAATTACTCATATCAAAAAAAAATAAAAAATAAAAAAAAATAAAAACAAAGAAAGACGTAACTGCAAAATTGATAGGGAAGTGGGGAGGGAATACTCCTGAAAAGGTTTCACCTAGAAGTTATTAGAGAAGGAGCTCATCTATCCATAAATGACTCTTCTTGTTTTATTGGGTGGAAAGACAGAACAAAGTCAAAGGTAAAATATCATAGCTCCTTTGAGCTGACCAGGAATACTGGCAAGGCCAACTCACACTGTCTTTCTCAGGAGATTTATCAACCCAACCAATCAATTAATAAGTATCTATTAAGTGGGTGTCTACTATGTTCTGACTGCTAGCTGGCATACAAAGACAAAAATAAAATATTCCCTGACTTTAAGAAGTATTCTTTCTGTAAAGAAAACACACAAACAGTACATACTTTATCACATGTATTCATGTGAATATATGCAGGCATATATTTATTTAAGTACATGTGTAGCATAAATGCAATGCATGTGTAGGTTATATACATGTGTTCATATGCGTACATATGCAAATATATTTATATATACCATGCTTGTATCTGACCACAGAATATGTGTCATATATAATGCAATATATAACATTACATGTTCATATTATAGTTATTATGTTATATAACACATGTTTATACTGTAAGTATATGCATGTATTTTATATATGTGATTATCAGTGTATGTACATATGTATAAACATGAATGTATGTGTATATACATATATTATATATGTATGTGTATATATACATATATGTGTGTGTGTGTGTGTGTGTGTGTGTGTGTATATATATATATATATACACACACACATGTAGTTATGGGGAGGAGGATGAGAAATAGTAATAAATCCAGGATGCTTCCAAGGTTGTAAGTCTGAGGGACTAGGAGCATGGTATTGCCCTCTATAGTAACAGGGAAGGTATGGACAGTGGCAGAGAGTATGATTTAGAGGGAAAGATAATGACTTCAGTTTTGGATATGTCGAACTTAAGATGTCTTTAGGACATCTCATTTGAGATATCTGAAAGGCAGATGGAAACGTGAGATTGGAGGTCGGTAGAGAGGTTAGGGCAGAATAGGAAGATTTAAGAATCATCAAAATACATATGGTACTTAAATCCATGGGAGCTGATGAAATCACCATGTGAAATACTATAGAAGGAGAAGAGAAGAAAGGAGGGTCCATGGCAAAATCCTGAGGGGTACTTATGTTAAGAAGGTGTGATTCAGGTGAAGATCCAACAAAGGAGACTGAGAAGGAAAGGTTAGATGGGCAAGAGGGAAAAATCTAAAGAAAAGACAGTACGGAGGAGTAGAGTGAAAAAAATGTGAAAGGCCACAGAGAAGCAAAAAGGAATGGGGATTGAAGAAAAGGTCATTAAATCTGGCAACAAATAAATCACTGGTCACTTTGGAGAGGACAGTTTCAATGAAATGGCAAAGTCAGAAGCTGGATTGTAAGTGTTTATTAAGAGAGTGAGAAGAGAAATGGGAGACACCTGTTGTATTTCTTCAGCAGCACCAGTATAGGAATGAAGGCAGCAAATGATGGCAATGATCCAAGGATGATAAAGGGGCCAAGGATTCAAGAGAGGAGGACAGTACAGAGTTGAATTGGTTCATCAACAAGTCAAGACAGGGAGAAGAGGAGAGAGTGGCTAATGGGGGGACAATGGCCTAGAAGAGAATTGAGGAGTAAATTTAGGGATTGAAGGTCACGATATGGACAAAAAGTTTTGTAAGGGAAGGCAGAGAGAGAGAGGAAAAGTCAACAGGTTATGGTTGGATAAGAGGATTTTGAAATTCTTGAATGGGGAGGTGGTACCTTTGTGGGTGATGGCAAGACCAAGGGTATGACCAACTTTGTGAATGGTTGAGGTGTGGTGGAGGCATGGGAATAGGAGATGGAGAATCATATATAAGAAATTAAGAAGGCCAATTTGGCTGAACAGTAGTAAGTATAAAGGGGTGAAGTAACAGACTGTGGGTATGACAAAGAGGAGATTCTAAAACCACACAGCAAGGAGCTCATTCTGTAAGATACCTGGTGATCTAAGACAATGGAAAAGTGGCTTCGCATCTCCCATTTCCCTCCCATCCTAGGACATGAATGCATTGCAGAGAAGGGCAGGAGGAATTGCACACATCAGTTAAATTGGCATTTTCTACTCCCCTCTTCACTTTTTTTCTCCTTAAGCATCTAGATGAGTACACCAAAGTTAAATGAGGAAGAAATGACTCATTAAATGTGGTTAATTCTGCTTCATCCTTCTTCATCTCCTGAATTCCAACATGCCTTTTAAAGCCTAACTCAAATGCCAACTTCTCAATTAGGCCTCTCCTGATTCTCTCTGCAGATAGCCTTTTCCCCTTGACCTTTACATTGCACTTTGTTTTGCCAGATCACGAATACATTTTTATATGTACTATTCTGTATAAGAATTATGTGTGTATGTGTCTTATTCCTCTAGTAGACAGTAAGCTCCCTAAAAGCAGTGACTATCTGCAGCCTCAAGGCCTCATGCAGCCCTCAAGGTCCTCAAGTACAGCCTTTTGACTGAATCCAAACTTTACAGAACAAATCCTCTTAATAAAAGAATATGCTCTGTAAAACTTGGACTCAGTCAAAAAGCTGTGCCCATAGACCTAGAAGGCTGCACAGAGCCTCGAGGCTGCAGGCTTCCCACCCCTACCTCTGACCTAAATTTTGTACCGTGTTCAATGCCAATATCGATGCTTAGCACACAGCAAGCACTAAATGTTTGCTGAATTGAATTCCAAGTATGGGACATATCTAGGAAACAGTAGGAACAGTTTTGCTAAAGTGGAGAGCATGGAGAGACAGGGAGGTTTGGCAACAAAGGCAAGATGGAACCAAATAGCAAAGGGCTTGGGATTCTAGACCCAAAAAGCAATAGTCGATGAGGCAGGAGAGAGGGAGGCACTGAATATTTACCAAGGAATTGTTGATCAAGGTGAATCCAGGGAAAGAATAGCAAGAGAGCCTTCTGGGGAAAGCCTGGAGTCAGAGGTCAGTTAGGAAGGAGATTGCAATAGTCGAAGTATGGAGGTCATGAGGGACTGAACTAGATAGTACTGAAAATGGCAAGGTATGGAAAGGAGGGATTTCTCCAAAGGAATAACAAAGACGGTTTTTTTGTTTCGTTTTGTCTTGTTTTACCAATTTGATCAAGCAAGTGGGAGAATTGAAGAAGAGAATGAGTCTAAGAAAGACAAAGATGTCCCAAAACTACACAGATCCCAAAAGAAGGAATGCAAACTGCATTTCTGCTGGACATACCTTTTCAGGCACCTCTAAGTGAAATACTTTTAGGGCCTGTTTAAAATCCTCCTTACAGAGAAGACCATTCCTTTTCTTGTCCAAATGCCGGAAGTATTTTCCCAATCCTGTTAGAATACGAACAGCTCTTTCATGTAATTTCTCTCTTAATAGATCTGTTCAACAAGAAAAGAGAGAAAATGAAAACTAAACTCTTTATTCAGGAATAAATCAAATTGGAGTTGACTTTTTTTTCCACATGAAAATGACATGGTCAGAGTAACCCATATAGAGAGTAAATAATAATAGTTGACATTTATATGGCACTTACTGTGTGCCAGTATTTTTTTATTATTGTCTCATTTCATCCTCACAACAACCCTGGGAGGTAGGTGCAATTATTATCCCCATCTTACAGAAGAGGAAACTGAGGCAAGAAGAGGTAGAGTGACTTGCCATGGCTCACACAGCTAATAAGTTTCTGAGGCCATATTTGAACTTAGGTCTTCCTAACTCCAGGCCCAGAGCTCTGCCCACTGTGTTACCTAGCCTGATATTATATGAAGCCAAAGGGACATACAGACTTATAGATAATAGCAGTCACTGCCCACACTGGCTAACTGTTGACTATTTCTATACTACTGAAGTAAGGTACCTGTTTGCAAAGTTTGAAGGATACCACATTTTTACTACAGAGGCTCAGTTAAGCCATCTAGCAAATAAACCAGAACTGTAGCACCACCCTGTGGCAGAAGTTTTATTGTATGGTTTGGAGAAGGAAAGGTGAAAAAAAAGCAATGGATTGCTTTATCAGTGTATAAACCTCCTATTTTTTTCTCTTGTGGCCAAATACTACCATTTCTAGTCTCACTACTTGGATGCTCCCAAACAAGTCATTTGAAAGAATATCCATGATGCTATGTTGATGGTATTGATAGTTCTACAAGACCTTGAAATCCTTAAATCAGTCAACCAGAATTTACTTATACACACCTACTATGTGAGAGGAATCAATGTTACTTCTATACAGTCATGTTGGAAGGATAGACGATATGGATGAATTTAAAATAATTTTCCCTGCCAAAATCTATCTAGGGTCATGTTCTTAGTTTCTTCATTTTTTCCTCCATACCCAGTTGACTTCATTTACTTTAATCTTTAAGTCAACATGCTACTTTATCCTCAGGAAATAGGATACAAATAAATTTCTTTCTTAACAAATTTTGTCTAACAAGTTAAAAGTAAAAGACTGAAAAAGAAACTGCTAGCTATAACTGGCAAAACACTTGGTTTGATTTAGATAATGAATCTATGGCTGTGTATCTCATCACATAAATAATAACAAGGAATACACTTGGGTTCATTTACCAAAAGGTGACAGTTCAAGTCTCTGTCCACCGTTCCAACTATCGCTCCCAAACTGAGATGAGTCTCAAACAAAAGGAGACACACCTTTCTAAAGCAAATGAACACTTTTCTAGCACTTGAACATGTGGAAACTGAGTACAATAAATCCCACACTTATAAGCTAATTCAGGAAGGGAAAGAGACCTGGTTCTTGGTGTGGATGTGAAAAAAATTAATATTGTAATAGAGAATGCAAAGGCAAAATAAAATGTGAGGAATCAAAATTTTAAATGATGCCTAATAAACAGCACATAACCAAAAGAGGGGTATCAGCCCCTTTTCCATGAGATGCTCCTATTAAATGAAACACTCTTAGAACCTATTTAAAATCTGTCTAACATGGAAGTCTGTTTTCTTTCTTATCCACCTGCCAAAACGATGTTCCCAATCCTGTCAAAATATCAACACTCCTTTAATGCAATTTTTCTTTATATGCAGTCAGAACGTAGACTTGGTTGATGAATTGGTTTTGCTGGTTTAAAATATATATATATATATATATATATATATATATATATATATATATATCCCTTATTATAAGAAATAACTCTAGCTGAATAGAAAATTTGACTTTCAAATACAAGACTCAAGTGGAACATGAAGAGGTAAACAGGAATGAGAAATCATAAGAGACTTATTAAGGCTGAACTGTTTACATTCCTACATGGAAAGATGATATTTATAACTCATGAGACCTTTGTCAGTATTAGGGTAGTGGGAGGGAAAAAATTATATGTATGGACAGACAGACAGATAGATAGATAGATAGATAGATAGATAGATAGATAGATAGATAGAGGGCACAGGGTGAGTTGAAGATGAAGGGGTGATATCTGGAGAATAAAATTAAAGGGTGAGAGAGGATTATACTAGGAGGAGAAAGGGAGAGGTAGAATGGGGTACATTATCTCACACAAAACAGAGAAGAAAAGGTTCTTACACTGGAGAAGGGGAAGGTGAGAGGAAATGAGGGAATCTTATTCTCATAGGATTTGGCTTAAGGAGGGAATAACATACACACTCAATTGGGTATGGAAATCTGTCTTACCCTACAGGAAAATAGGGGAGGAAGGGGACAAGAGAGCAGGGGGGTGATAGAGAGAAGGGCAGATTGGGAAAGGGGTAATCAGAAGGAAGTACTTCTGAGGAGGGACAGGGTCAAAAGAAAGAATAGAATAAATAGGGGGAGCAGGATAGGATTAAGGGAAATAGAGTTAGTTTTTCACAACATGCCTACTGTGGAAGTGTTTTGCATAACTGCATATGTATGGCCTGTGTTGAGTTGCTTGCCTTTTCAATGAGAGTGGGTGGGGTGGGAGGAAGGGAGAACATTTGGAACCCAAAATTGTAAAAACACATGTTTAAAAAAAATGTTTCCACATGCAACTGGGAAAAAGAAATATAGGAAATGAGGTACAGAAATCTATCCTGCCCTACAGGAAAATAGAAGGGGAAAGGGATAAGAGAAGCGGGGGGAGAAACAGAAGGAAGGGGAGACTAAGGGAAGGGGTATTCAGAATGCATGCCGTCTTGGGGTGGGAGGAGGGGCAAGATGGGGTGAAAATTTGGAATTCAAAATCTTGTGGAAGTAAATGTTGAAAACTAAAAATAAATAAATTTATATATAAAAAAAGAAAAGAGAGTCAGGATCTTAGGGAGAAAATAATAAGCTTCAAAAATATTACCTCCTCTGGTTCTTTAGCACCTATGAAAATAGAAGTGAAATGGCTTGTAGACAATGAAAAGGCAAAATGTCACGTTTACTATCAATTTTAGTGAGAATTGAAGATTGTCCATCACTATGTCTAACATTATTTAACAAAGACTGGAAAACCTCACAAGCACACTATGCAATAAATGCTGGAAAAAAGAAGAAAAAAGAAAGAAAGAAACAACTCTGAGGAAAAAAATGATTAGGGAAGATATACTGGGAAATAAATGTGATATAAAAACAAAAAACATCAAAGAAAAATATCTAAGACAATAATGATATGATATTCAGAACTAAAATAAAAGTAGAGAAAAGGGTCATTGGGAAATTGAAATACAAACTAATTCAGAAAACATCTTTTTCCCACTCCTCTTTAGCTCTGCCAGATTAATCTTCCTGAAGCATAGATTTACTAATATCATCACATACCTCAAAACCCTTCAATGATTCCCTATAGCCTAATTAATAAAATTCAAAGCTTTTTTTTAAAAGTTCTACCACTCAAGTCTCTCCTCAGTGTGGTGCTGCCTTAAATTTCCAGCTTATTTCACACTCTTGCCCCTCTGCCCATATTTAAAGCTTCATCTAAACCAGATTACTCACTGCTTCCTTGATGTGTCCTATACTTTCCTACATCTATAACTCTGTCTACACTGTTCCATAAACCTCAAATATCTATCCTTTACACCTTTTTTACTTGATGAACTTACCCACCCTGGAAGATCTGGTTCCAATGAAACCTCCTGTATAAAGTCTTGTGTCATCTTCCTCTTCTCAGAAATAAGCAGTCAGAAATGACCATTTTTTCCTTCTTTGCCTTCTCTCACTTATGGAATATATTAATTAATCAATCAATAAACATTTATTAAGCATCTTGTATCACTTCTTCTGACCTCCATGGGAGCACTTGCCTTTTGTGAGTTTTCTATAGAATGGGCTTTTAGGCAAACATACATCTGGCATTCAAACAATGTGGCTAGACTGGAGAACTAACGTGGAAGTCAGAAGAAGTGGTACAAGAACACTCTCAAGGTCTCTCTAAAGAACTTTGGAATCAATTGTGAAACACGGGCAATACTGGAAAAGAACCACCCAGCATGGCATGCCCACTTCAAAGAAGGTGGCGTGCTCTATAAGCAAAGCAGAATTGCAGTAGCTCAAAAGAAATGTGAGATGCACAAATTTAGAGCTATATCAACTTCAAATGTTCATATGGACTATTTGTGCCTGACCTGTGGTAGAGCCTTCCAAGTTCATATTGTTCTGATTAGCCACAGTCAGACGCACTGAACCTTGATCCCAACATAGTGATGTCATTTTGCTCCTCTTGGATGCTGACGGACAACAATCATTTAGCACTAACTCTGTTGCAGACACTGTGCTAAGAGTTGAACAGTTCTATTTATTTATTTACACTTGGTCTCATTTACCAAACAGTGACAGTTCAAGTCTCTGTCTATTCTTCCAACTCAGATGAGCCTCAAACAGGAGGAGCTCCACCTTCCTGAAGAAAATGAACACCTTGCTAACACCTGAACATGTGGAAATTAAGTACAATAAGTCTATCTATTTTGTAAATGAGAAAACTATAGACCCAAGAGTTTAAGAGACAGCCTCAAAGTTATAGATAGTACATAGCAGAAATGGAATGGAAACTCGAATTCAAACCTCATGCTCTTGTTATGGTAGAAAGCTGTCTCTTAGTAAGGAAACAAGAGCTTCCTTGCAGTATTTGAAAACTTTATATATGGACAAGTGGTTATACGTATATGTATCTTCATGGGTAGAAGTTACAGGAAGGCATATTTTGACTCACTAAAGATTAAAAAAACAAACTCCACAGCAATTTATGATGTCCAAAAATAGAAAGAACTGCCTCCTAAAGAAGTGAGCTATCAAGCAATCAAAAATATGATTAAGTGCCCACTATATACCAGGCACTGTACTAATCACTTGGGGTACAAAAACAAAAAGTGAAATAGTCCCTGCCCTCCAAGTCTTTACAGCCTAGTGATAGGAAACAACATATACACGTAGACGTCTATACAAAATAAATACAAGATAGTTGGGAGAGGAAAGCACTAGCAGCTGGTACAGTCAGAAAGGATATCATGTAGCATATGGTACTTGACCTGAGTCTTGAAGGAAGTTAGAGATTCCAAGAAGTAAAGGTGAGGAGACAGTGCATTTCAGGAATGAGAGACAGCCGATGCAAAGCCATGTAGATGGGAGATGGAGTGCCTTGAGAGGACCAGTAATAAAGACAGTGTGACTGGACTATAAATATGCATGCGTGAAGGAGAATAAGGCTAGAAAGGCTGGTTGGGAACAGATGTATAAGGCTTTAAATGACAGTCAAAGAATTATAGAGGTCATAGCCTCTGGTGCTTGAATGGGGTAGATTCATGATCAGATATGTGGACAGAGACATAGTCAGATATGCACTTTAGTAAAAATCACATTGGCAGCCGTGTAGAGGATTAGAATAAGGAGATACTTGGGGCAAGAAGAACAATTAGGAAGCTATTCCAATAGTTCAGAATAGTAGTGATAGGTGTCTAAACTGTGCTGCTGGTTGAATAATTTAAAAGAAGTGAGAGATATTACTGAAATACTGAGATGTCATGAAGGTAGAAATGACATTGGAGATGTTAAAGAGGCTAAGGAAACATTTGTTTGGTAGACTGGAAAGGAGACTCAACCATTGGTCAGAAAGTGGACCTCTAAGATCCCTATAAGAACCTCTGAAGTTCTGAGTTGTATAAGTGTAATAACCTTGTAACTGGATATCTGGAACAGTGCAATAACTGGATATCTGGAATAGCATTCCATAGGCAGGATGGCTTCTTAAATGTTAATGAGTCAAAGAAAATTCCAACGTGTGAAATACTTTAAAGCATTCTACTGTCTAATGGGTATATACTGATCACATGGACAATTTCCATTGATAAACTTTTCTTACAGTGGGACAACTGAATGCACTCAAAGACTTCCTACTAAACTACCTTCTATTTAACTACCTGTTATTTATATGTTATATATATATATATATATATATATATATATATATATATATATACTTATTATATGTGTTTGTGTGTTATGTACATTATAAGATTCTTTTCTGTATTTATCTACTTCTCTTTCCTACTAGAACAACTCCTTGCAAATAGGGATTAATTCAACTATTTTACTTGTATCCCAGTGCCTAGAACATAATAGGTGCTTAACATGTTTGATGATTGATCAATGACAAAGGGAGGGTATACTTTGAAGTGACTGTTAGGGCTTAGTATGATTTTTATTATGTATTCAACTATATCTCCTCCCCCCCATATTTGCTATACACGTTAACTGTACTAAAGTTACAATTTTATTAATATCAGGAATTTTCAATGAGCAAACTCTCCTCACCAATGCAAATAAGTACATACTTTGTAACTCAGAGTCTTAGAGAACTATCTTCTTCACTGAGAGGTCAAATGATTTGCTCACTCACCTACTCAGTATATGACAAAAATTGGATCTTTGTGTATATATAATAATACTACCTTATGTGTGAGTAATACTCTGTAGTTTTCAAGGAACTTTCATATCTATTATTTTTTTTAATTTATTTATTTATTTATAGTTTTCAACATTTACTTCCACAAGATTTTGAGGTCAAATTCTCACCCCATCTCACCCCTCCCCCCACCCCAAGATGGCATGCATTCTGAATATCCCTTCCCCTAGTCTGCCTTCCCTTCTATCTCTCCCCCCTTTCTCTTATCCCCTTCCCCTTCTACTTTCCTGTAGGACAGGATAGATTTCTGTACCCCATTTTCCATATTTCTTATTTCCCGGTTGTATGTGAAAACATTTTTTTAAACATGTGTTTTTAAAACTTTGGGTTCCAAATTTTCTCCCTTCCTCCCTTCCCACCCACCCTCATTGAAAAGGCAAGCAACTCAATATAGGTTATACATGCGCAGTCATGCAAAACACTTCCATAGTAGTTATGTTGTGAAAAAGTAACTCTATTTCCCTTAATCCTACCCCGCCCCCCCATTTATTCTATTCTTTCTTTTGACCCTGTCCTTCCTCAGAAGTGTTTGCTTCTGATTACCCCCTTGCCCAATCTTCCCTCCTCTCTATCATCCCCCTGCTCTCTTGTCCCCTTCTCTTCCTATTTTCCAGTAGGGTAAGACAGATTTCCATACCCAATTGAGTGTGTATATTATTCCCTCCTTAAGCCAAATCCTATGAGAATAAGATTCAATCACTCCCTCTCACCTTCCCCTGTTTCCCCTCCACTGTAGGAGCCTTTTCTTTTCTGTTTTTTTGTGAGATAATTTACCCCATTCTACCATATCTATTATTTCATTTGTCTCTCATAAGACAAATAGAACAGATATCATTATTCCTATTTTACAGATGAGTGGGAGCATTGGGATGAGAACATTGGGCCTTAAAGAAATGTCCAACCTCATAGTGTTAATAAAAGCAACAAAAACAAGTTTAGAATCCAGCCAGGTCTTCTGGCTCCTACTCCACTCACTACACCATGCTGTTATACAATTTACTGGCAAAGTGAATAATGCATAAAGTAAGGTCAAACTTCCTTACCAAAAATAGTCTACGTTTCACTCAATACGTTTTTCAACCATATGTTCTAGTAGCTGATAGATTTCACAAACTCATACTTTCATATAATTCTGCCATTCGGTTAAATATAACTGTCATGATGATAAATACTGTAAGGAAGAAGAAAGATACACCCACACACAATTAGCAAAAGAAAAAGGGAAGGGAAGGGAAAGGAAAGGAAAAGAAGGGAAGAGAAAAAGGAAGGGAAAGGTAAAAAGAGAAAGGGAAAGTAAAAGGAAGGGGGAAAGAAAAGGGAAGGAAGAAAAGAAGGAAGGAAGGAAAGAAGGAAGGAAGGAAGGAAGGAATGAAGGAAGGAACAGATGACACTGAGACACAAGGGAGAAAGTAACAGTTTTGGAATGGAAGACCGGGGTTCAAATTACAACTCTGCTATACACAATCTGTGTTGTGGGAAAATAAATAATTTCACCTATCTGGGCCTCTGTTTCCTCTGCAAAATGATGGAGTTTGACCTGATAACTTATAAGGTCCTTCCTGCTCTAAAGCTAAGATCCTATTATCCCATGACCTTGAAAACATGTAGAAATGCCCATTTATGAGTGGTAAGGAGACTAAATATTTAAGTAAAATACAGAAAGGCAGTAGTTATACAAACCTTGTATATTCTTGAAGATACTTCTGTCACTGGCTTCTTGTTCAGTCAAACCATCTCCATTTTCCATAATTTTTTTTCTGCAATTAGAATATTTGTAAAAGTTAGAGGAGATTCTTGCCTCCGGTAAAGGCCTCAGTCCTCCTTTCAGAACTTCTCTGAATCTATACAAGTCATTTTTTGCTCTCAAGAAAAAGAAAGCTTCCAATCATACAAGAGAATGGATTTTCCTCAATCAAGAGCTAAAATTATAAAATCTAACAAGAGCCTCTTTCAAATGTTCTGTTCATTTTTAAAAAGTTGCTTCAATGATATTTTCAATGAATTTGCATTTATGAAGCAGTAAATCTTTTTGTAAGGAAAAAACAAGCATAAAATTAAAATATCTGGAAAAAGGACAAAATTTTTGATGGGTTACATTTATCATGAGCATGAATATAAATAAAATTTGGATTTCATTGTATACATTTTAATAATTTAATAACCTAATAGTAACATCTACAATACTTTGATATTTAGTTAAAGCAGGATTGTAATTACAAACAAATGCTACAGTAACAAAAATACAATAAAGTACAGCTAGATCCTAATTAGTGTGAATAACAAATCCCCTGAAGTGGTCACATTATTCAAGTTTGCACCTCATATTTCCACTGGTTTAGAACCAATTACCTTTTTTATATAATTGTTATTATTTATTATGTATTTTAATATTTATAAATATGTTATATAATTTTAACTTTAAATTTGAATTTGATTCAAATACATGCTACTACTTCCAAGGATTCATTATTCACACCAATAAATTAAAGTAAGGAATTATTATTGTATAAAGTGACCAAAATACAAAATCCAAGTTATTTTGTTATGTTTATAATGCTCAAATATCATTTCAAATGTATTAGTTTCTGCCATCAATGAAATAATATGATTTAAAATTTTTATTATCTTGATAATGTAATAAAATTCAAAGGCTAAGATAAACAAGATCTTAAATTTCTTCTTAAAATTTATTTCTTATCTATTTTCTATTATTTACTTGCCACTACCTTTCCTCCACTTACACATAACATGCATAATATTGTATAAAATATGATGTAAAAATATAGACTGTGTAATGTTTTGGGGTTGTTAAATGACCTAAACATTAAGACTCTTTGGAACAAAGAATGATAATTTAAGGTTATTCATGACCTATATTGTTCTTCTCCCATTGTACTCTCTAAATGAAAAAGTGGTCTGGAACTCACCTGAGACTATCGAAAGTTAGCTGATCAACATGTGTGATTCGAAGAGTAATTAATGGATTTTCTTTTATGCTTTCTGGAAGACTAAGATGATAAGAACTCAAAAATGTCAAGTTAGCACCCTGAAGATAATGACAAAAAGAAATGATTTGCAGCTATGAAGCACATAGCCTACAAAGAGTCTCAAGACTACTAGCTTAATATTGCATGATACTTAGCACAGAATATTTTAATAATGCCAAAAAAGTATGTCATGGGAGGGGCAGCTAGGTGGTGCAGGGGATAGAGCACTGGCCCTGGACTCAGGAGGACCTGAGTTCAAATGTGACCTCAGACACATAACACTCATTAGCTGTGTGACTCTGGGCAAGTCACTTAATCCCATTGCCTCGGGGCGGGGGGGGGGGAACAGAAAAAATAAAGTATGTCACAGGACAACCATGTAGATTTTGGTTAATTCTATAAATTTCCTACAAGAAATGGGAGAATTCATCTTTAAATGCCATCCGGTTAAATAAATAATGAAACCAAAGTGACTTTTTTTTTGCTCAAAATAAATAACTGAACTGTTCACGCCAAAGGAAAACTCAGTTCATCATATAATGTGACTTTTCCAATACATAGAAATGGCATTAATGAGCCATAGCCATGTGTTTTAAGTGATGGTAGATTTTGCTATTAACTCTCCACACCTTTCACCACCCTCTTAATGATTAGAAGCTCAAGATGGTGAAACTTATATAAAGGGGTTAGTGGGTAGTCCATGGTCAAACACCAAGTTTCTTTCTGTGATGACGGATATATCAGAACTGAAACTTTAACCTCATTTATTCACCGAACAATTATTAAGCCTCCATTGTACACAAGGCACTAGATTAACACAACTTTAGGAGCACATGAGCTAACTAGTAATCAAAACAGAACTAGGGACTGGACCTATGAATTCATTACCATAGGGAACTCCCAAATAAGAAAACTCTACCAATGCGGATAGCATCTGCTCTGCAACTTATAATTTTAGAGTTCCCTGGGGCATGAGTAAGTTAAGTGACTTTTCAAGAGTTGCACAGCCAGTATGTGTTCAAGATGGGACTTGAACCCAGGTCTTCCTGGCTCTCTTCTATACCATAAGGTCTCTCAGCAATAAGTAAATAAATGACTGTTTGTTCCAATTCATCAAGATTATCTTGTTCTATCAAATAAAACAGGAAGTGAGAGAAGAAATAACAGGATTGTAGGATTAAGCGCATATCACCTTTTGGGTGTAAATATGTATCTTTAAAGAACCGGGGCAGTTAGGTGGTACAGTAGATAGAGCTCTGGCCTTCAAGTCAGAAGGACCTGAGTTCAAATCCAGCCTCAGACACTTGAAACTTACCAGCTGTGTGACCCTGGGCAAGTCACTTAACCCCAACTGCCTCACTAAAAATAAGGGAGAGAAATGTGAGAAAGTTTATTTTTCATAAGCTGTGTGACACTGGGCAAGTCACTTAACCCCATTGCCTAGCCAAAAAAACAACCCCCCTCAAAAAAAAAATTGGGAGCAGTTAGGTGGCACAGTGGTTAGAGCACCAGCCCTGGAGTCAGGAGGACTTGAGTCCAAATCTGGCCTCAAACACATAACATGGTGTGACTCTGAGCAAGTCACTTAACCCCAAATGCCCTCACCAAAAAAAAAAACAAAAAAACAAAAACAATGATTAAAAAGTGTGCTAAATCTGCTTAGGAGTCTTGTTCATTTTTATTATTTTTTAAAGTCACCCAAGGGAATGTAAAGGATTTTCCCCTCAAAAGTCACCATTTCATTAATTTTTATCAGTGTAACATCAATATCAGTTTATTAAAGTTCAACCAGTTTCTCTTGCATGTATAGAGTTGTTTACATGTTGTCTCCAGCCTCACTCCTATTAGAATATGAGCTTTTTTGAGGGCAGAGATCCTATTTTTATTTTTCTTTGCATCCCCAGCACTCAGCATAATGCCTGGCACAGAGTAAGTACTTAATAAATGTTTGTTAATTGACTTATTTCTGAAGAAAATTGTGCAGTAGTTTACAAAAATATTTTATATTTCATTATATAACTCAAAATATGTGCCCCCAATGAAATATCCAAGAAATTTTGTCAGGTTCTGAGATAACACAATAATAAAAACATCATGAACGTGAAGACAAAACTTTTCACATAATTATCTTAGTTCGTCCTCATAGTCTTTATATTACTTATTCTTTGCAAGGAGGAAGGGAGAGATTTAAAAATTGTTCCTAAAATGTCTAGTTTACGTTTCAGCAAATGAACCTTTTGTAATCCAAAAGAATCTGAATTATAATATTACAAATAAGAAAATGTTTTACTTTCCTGACAGTACAAAAATCTGAGAAACTTTGATTAAAATATAAAAAGCCATTATCATGAGATTTTTCTGTTAGAACAGGAATCCTTAAACTTTTTTCTGTTACAGACCTCTTTGGAAGTAAAGCCTATGAGCTGCTTCTCAGAATATTTTTAAATGCACACAGCAAAATATATAGGATTGCAAAAAAAATGTTGAAATAAAGATGTCATTTTTGTCCCATTCAAGTTTGGAGACCCCCCCAAAAAAAATCTATCTATGAGCACTTGGAGGTCTATGGAGCCCAGGTTAAAAATTTCTGTATTCAAAAACATAAGATTATAAAAATATAAGCAAAAGTCCTAATAAAATGTTAATATCAACATGTGCTTTGAATACTTCCTGCATTATATTTTAGTAACGTTTTTATCACACAGAATAAAATCAAAGAATAATATAGTAATGTAATTGGGTTTGCGTTTGGATTTGGATTTGATTTGGATTTAATCATTGGGTGTTGTAATCACAGTCTTATTCATACACTTATTCCAATGGGTTCCTTTATTAAACTAGGTGATTGAAATCTCAGTCAAAAAAGGCAAGTAGGTCAATGAACACAGTTTGTATATATAAACAATATAACAACCCAAGTAATCATTAAGTGAGTGACTGCTACCATATTGAAGATGCTAAATCATATCTTAACATTTACAAAACACTTTAGATAATATTTTTGTTCCAGTTGAGCCTCAGTAATACTGGAAGATAGCAAGTATTCCAAACCCTATTTTATAGATGAAGATACAGGCACAGCATGAAGCTACATAACTTCCCTGCATTCATGCTACTACCCAGTGACAGAGTCGAAACTTAGATATAAAAACACAAAGTTCCCCTGTTATTAAATGTTTTTAGTCAGTATCCTAAAGTTCCAATAGATGGTGATGTTACTATATAAAAGACGGCACTTTGGTTAGTCGGATGAGGTTTAGCTTTCCTTACTTTCCAGAGTAGGAAGAGGTTTGGTGTTTTTTTTTTTTGGTTGGTTGGTTTTTCCCTTCTTTGAAGGGAGTCACCATTGATTTCTTTTGCTTGATCACACATATTTGTTATAAGGGAGGGGCTTTTACTAAGCAGGGGGAGGTTGACTTGTTGGGTAATGATAGACATGAAAAAAAGAATGAAATCAAAGCATTTTAAGAGGGGCACCGAGGAAGGTATGGAAAATAGAGAAAGGTACACAAATAGAGCAATTAGTTACTATCTTATTATGTTTTTAAATATATACATGTATGTATATACCCATATACACACATGTAAATTATATGTAATACTTCTGCCAGGCACAGTTGTCTTTTAAAGAGTATGCAAATATGTATACATACATACATACATACATATATATATATATAAAAACCTTATAAATAATACTCCTATCATGTAGTATTGTTTTTAAAGAGTATGTATGTATATATACATGCATATACACAGAGAGAAACATTTAAAAAACAGACAATTCTGCCCTCAAGGAGCTCACATCCAAATGGAGAAGATAACATGCAAACAATTGTGTGCAATCAATATTTTTTTTTCATATAGACGTGACCCTGGGTTCCTGAAGGTTTCACTAGGCAAGCGCTAGCTCTGGACGGTAACCTACAGGAAACTGGTTGCTTGTTGTCCTTCCTTCTCAAAGAGGACCAAAGTGATATGACTGTGTTGGAGTCAAGGTATAGTGTGTCCAACTGTGCCCAATCAGACCAACACAAGCTCAAAAGGCTCTACTACAGATTGAGCACAAATAGTCCATCAAAGAAGGAAACTGGGAAGACTTGAAGTACCAATCCTGAAAAAGTTCTTGAGTCTCTCCCCACTACAATCCAGCCTCCTCTCAATTTTGCTAATGCACAAGCCTTATCATGTCTCTCTCATCCATTTAATAAACTCCAATGTCTCCCAACTACCTTAAGGATCAAATATAAAATTTTCTGCTTGGCAGTTAAAACCCTGGTCTTCTACTATCTCTCCAGTTTTCTTATACCTTACTGCTTTCCATATAATCTACAATTCAGTGACAGGAGCCTGCTTACCGTTTTTCAAATAAGATGCTGCATCTCCCAAGTCCAAGAATTTTCACTGGCTGTCCCCCATGTCTTTCTCCTCATCTCCACCTCCTGATTTCCTTGGCTTTCTTCAAGTCTCAGCTAAAAACTTGCCTTCTACATAAGCCTTTCCCAATCCTCAATTTCTAGCGCCTTCTCTCTGAGATTATCTCTAATTTATCCATTACACAGGGTATGTCAAAGTCAGTGTAGTTTTACGCTAGTTAAGCTTAAAGCTACACAAAGAGAAGCTTAATATACTATGTCTTGTTTGTACACAGTGGTTTCATGTTGTCTTCATTAATTTGTAAGCTTCTTTACAGCAGGAACTATTTTGACTGCATGTCTATTGGTCAAGAATTAGCCAAAGTTCAGAGACACTCATCATCGGACTAGTGGTCTCCAGCTGCATAGTTTGAGCCACACAAAACCACAAAACTGTCTGTACTTATGAAGGGAGTCTTGCAAAGGTGGGGAACTTGTGGCCTCTAGGTCCTCAAGTGCAGCCAAGTTCAGTCAAAGGGCCACACTTGAGGACCTAGAGGGCCACATGTGGCCTGAGGCCACAAGTTCCCCACCTCTACCAGTTAAAAACATAAAAAGACAATGAAATTAGCTATAATTTTTAAATTGCTCCTTGTCTTCTATCACACTCACTTCTGGCCTAATTTAATCTCATTTCCTCTTGTGTGGTCTTCTGCATCATCCACCCCAATGAAGCAAACAGCAGCTAAACTGACATTCAATATTTTAAAAATAATACTTACAACATAAAAGTCTTGAAGTTGATACTGTTTGCCTTTTCTTCGTCCATATTGATGACTATAAATGCCTTTATAAATAAAGGGAAGTGCACTTGTTCTAGAAATTAAATCAGAAAATCTTGACATTATGACATTTCTTTCAAAATTATCTTTAAAATGACTAGAAAGTTATGGCATTTACCTATTGCTGCCAAACTGTCGATACTCGTATATGGTAAGTGACTTGTCATGTGCAAAGAAGAATCCCATCAGCTCTCTACAAGCATCACGTCCATTCCTGGGTGAGTTGAAAATTATTAGTTTTTTAGTTAACTGAATCTATTTCAAAGTCAAGTAAGTGGAAATGCAAACCTTAGCTAACAAATCAAAATGGCAAGATAAAACCAAAAATATATCTTAAGCCAAATTCTTCTTATCACTGAAGATTATGATGTTATCCAAAACATTGAAAGGAAAATTAAATTTAAATAAACATCCAAAATAAAGGGTGAAAAACAACAATATTTATGATTTCACAAGAATAATACATAGTTTTTTTAAATGTAAGTGTTCCAGTTTGCCTTGAAATCATCTTGTTAAAATGTTTTAATATCCTCTCATTTAAGAAAATGCTAGTGTCTTTCTATTCATATTTTAAAGTTATTTATAATTTGTTACATAACAAAATAAGTCATATCTACTCATTAAAAATGGTTTAAATTCATATTTCTTCAGTTATAATGTTAACTTAAAATTAACATCTCATATTTAAGTTGCACAAGAAAGTTAACATTTGTATGTATTATTTGTAGATAAGGAATGCTTATATTAATATTCGCAATTACCTTGACAAAATACGAGCATCAAATTGCAACTTGTTCGAAAGCATATTTTCAGTTAATGTTGAATGGGTTTTTATCCTGTTAAGAAAAAAGTTAATTATTTTGGGGGGAGCTTAAATGAAAGTACTTCTCCTTTCTAAAACAGTAACATGTTTTCAAGTGATCTGTTAAAAGTAACATAGCCAAGGGGCAGCTAGGTGGCACAGTGGACAGGGCACCAGTCTTGGAGTGAGGAGGACCTGAGTTCAAATTCAGCTTCAGACACATTACATTCACTAGCTGTGCAACCTTGGGCAAGTCACTTAAGCCCAACTGCCTTGCCAAAAAAAAAAGCAGAAAAAGAAAAGGAACGTAGCTGAAAAGGACCTCAGAGTCCATCTAGCCCAGGGGTGAGGAACCTGTGGCCTCAAGGCCACATGTGAGCTTTAAGTCCTTGGGTATAGCCTTTTGACTGAGTCCAAGTTTTACAGAACAAATTAAGGGGATCTGTTCTGTGAAGTTGGGACTCAGTCAAAGGGCCACATTTGAGGACCTAGGCCTCAAGGCCACAGGTTCCCCATCCCAGATCTAGTCTAACTTCCTCATTTTACAGACAAGGAAACTGAGGTCCAATAGAGGTTGAATGCACGCGGTTACACAAGGAGGATGAATCAATCAATTCACATGCTAAATGCCTGTTCTGGGCCAGATATTATGGTAGGCACTGGGGATACAAAAACAGTTTCAGACCTCCGGGAATTTACAATCTAGCAAGAGAAGATAATATGCACTTAATATAGATGAGACTTACAGTCACACGTGTGAGAAACCTAAGAAAATCAGTATGACTGGGTTATATAAATGAGTGTATAATGCATAAGGCCTGGATAGATTAAGTGGGGCACAGATTATGAAGATTTGATACGTGATGCTGCAAGGAAAAGTAGAGCGTAGGAGTTTTTTGAGTAGAGAAATGACGTGGTCATATCTGCACTTTGGGGAAATCATTCTGGCAGCTTTATGGAGGAAAAATGGAAATGAGGAGGGACTCGAGGCCAGAGAAAGAGGTGATGACGGTGATCACTGTTAAAAAAAAAAGGTCTGATGCAAGAGATGTCGAGGTAAAAACAAAACTTGACAACTGATTTAATGCGTGGGGTGAGAGAGAATAAGAAGTCAAGGCGGTTTACACCCAAATTATGAAGATGGCTGACCAGCAGCTTCATGGTGTAATAAATAGAGCGCTGGGCTGGAATTCATGAAGACCTCAGTTCACATTTGTTGTTTGTCCTTCATTCTCTAAGAGGAGCATGACATGAGGGGGGTGATGTCATGACACGCAAGTGAATTGGATTTAAGTGAGGGAAGACTGGGCAAAGTCACCAGTCTCACTTTCTCCTCTGGAGCCATGTGGGTCCAGTGGCCAGATATAGATAAGGATGGCTGGAGATGGCCCTAGATGCAGTGGGAGACCTTGGCTTTTTAAGCTAAGGTCTTTCCCAGGTCTCGGTTGTCTGAGGCAAGGCCCAATCAGTAATTAAAGCTGGTTAAGAAGTGAGGCAGAAATGGTCTCTTGTATCTAGTTTAAAAAATCAATTTGGCAGGGAAAGATCCTCAGGATTTCCTGGCCAAACTGCAACTGTATCGCAATAAATGAAACAAATGAAGCAAAAGTCACAGACTGATAGGTACTCCTGTGTTAATCTGGCATTGGGCCCATAGACCAACCATAAAAACATATGCAGGCTTCTGCCTGAAGTTAAACAAACAACAAACAAAAAAAAGAGGTAGAGAAAAGTATCCAATACACTGGTGACACATTTACAGAAGGAAATGGACACGAATATTAAAGAACGTAAGATTGTGGATAGCTTGTAATTGTAATCAACAGAGAAACCAAACTAAGGAAAGTATCTATCCAAGTATGTATTCAACTAGGAACCACTTGAGTGTCATGGCATCACCTCTCTGATGTCATAGTCCTCTTCTGAGAACGAAGAACAACAACTTCTATGACTAGTAAATAGTAGGAGCTGCCCCGCTGGGGACTCAAGCGGAACTGGCCAGTTGGGAACCAATGTGAAATGGGTTATCAAAAAAAGAAAAAGGATTAAAAAATTGATATTTGAATCTATCCTAAGCCCATTCCTGTACTATAAATGAAGCATTAGAAAATGAATTTGTAAATTCAGAGGAAGTCTTTAAAATGATATACATCATTAACCTTCTTATAGGAAGAAATAAAACTTTTTTTTAAGGAAAAGAGGCAAAGGGAGAAGGGGAAAAACCTTCCACACCAGAAGCATAGCTAGAATTTGTCAACTTTTAAAAGTCTTACTTTGTTTCATGTAGTGTTCGTTTCCTAAGATGTAGAGGCACCTTCTCTTGGAAAAGAGGAAGATAAGGTACCTGTTGGCTACCAATTATTGAATTTTGCTCTGGGTCACTGATGACTGCTCTGAAATACAAAGCAAATTGATCGACAATTAAATGTAATTCTTGTATTTGCTCCATTGCTCATCTATTTATAAATAGTTGGGATAGTTCACCTGTACGAGATCAACTACATTTCTTGTGAAGTTGTACCTATCTCAGATATGTACCAAAGGAGTATAGTATAATTAAAACCAATAAATGAAAAACATACGGACAGCACAAAAATGAATATTGTTGTTTGGCCATTTTACCATGAATATTGTTTGAAATCAAATGGAAAAAAAATTGAGAATGCTAAGACACTCATTGATGTCAACAAGTTGCTAGACTATCACAGCAAAGCTTTTCCATGTCCTCAGCTACTAGAGTGACTGTTGATCATTTTGCTCTCAATATAGTTAGCATTTAAGATTTCATATATAAAGAAAAAAGTATATTCACGGACTAAGGGGAGCATAACCTTGAGTTCTCGTAGCTTCAATTATGATTTCTATGCCTGATTAATTCTCCAATATCTACATCCAGTTCTGATCTCTTCCCCAAAATCCAATGACAGCTCCAACTTCTTAAAGGGTATTTTCACTTGGATATAATGAAAAGAATTGCCAACTTTTACATATAGGTCTTTAAGGCTTACAAAGGAATTTATGTATATTATATCGTTTTCTCACAATAATCCTGTGGTACTGCTGGTATGATTCTCCTCATTTCGACAGAATTGACATTTCAACCCTGAAATTTGGACATGTTAACTGACTTTGCCCATAGGAGAAAGGAAGGGAAGGGAAATGGAAAGAAGAAGAGGAATGGAGAAGGGAAACGCAGAAGGGGAAAGGAAAGAGGAAGGGAAGTAGCTGCAAACACTGAATAAGTTGTTATTAGACAAATGTTCCTTAGTACTAAAATTTTACCTGGATAATTGATCAATCATTACTTGTTCTATCACAGCTTGCTGCTTCTTCTTGGCAGCTACAATTTCCTAAGAGAAAAAAGAAAGGGTAAGAAGTAACAAAAAATAACACTTCCTTTTTCCCATAGTACAGATGAGCAATGAAATAGGCTAACAGTGGAATCCAAAACACTGTTTTGAGCATTTTTTCCAGAAAAACAATTCACATTTATGTAGCATTTTTGTTTATAGAGATATTTATTAGATCATAAATTTAGCTGGTGTAGAATTTAGAGATAATCAGGGATTTTTAACCTTTTTTGGAGTCTTAGATCCCTCTGAAAGTCTAGTGAAGCTTATGGAGCCATCCTTAGAATAATGTTTTAAATTGTGTAAAATAAAATATACAGGATAACAAAGGAAACAATTATTATTATAAATAATAACAGCTAGCATTCATCAGTGCTGTAAAGTTTACAAACATGTTACATATGCTATCTCATTTGATCTTCACAACAACTCTGTGAAGCTGGTGCTATTATTACCCCCATTTTACAGATGAGAAAAACAAGGCTGAGAGAGGTTAAGTAACTTGCCCAGGGTCCCTTAGCTAGTAAGTATCTAAGGCCACATTTGAATTCAGGTCTTCTGGACTCCAAGGCCAACACTGTATACACTATGCCAATTACCTGCCTAGAAAATTAAGATATTTTTAAAAGACCAAGTTCATAGGGCTGAGAGCCTTCACGTTTACTATAACCCTTTGTTTTACAGATGAGGAAATTGAAGTCCGGAAGCATTAAGTGACTTCACTGGGGTCCCACCAGCAATAACTAGCAAAACTGGTCTCTGAACTCAGGTTGCCTGCTTTCAAATCTGGTGTTTGTTTCATTCCATCACGTCACCTGAGAATTTAATAGACTCTTGATCTGGTTCTTTTGGGGGTAGACATGGGGAGAAATATACCTCAGCTAGCAAGACATTTCACACCTATTACCTTTATTTTAAAATCATTTAAAAGTCTCTCTACTACATATTTTTTTTCTTTTCTATCATTTTCTGTCCACTTGCATTGATATGACAAATCTACAATGATATGACTGATGCAATGATGTGATTAACTTAAATTATAGAGATGTTTAATATTAAGTTGCTAATAAAATATTTAATTAAAATAATTAACTACCAAAAAAGGTCTAAACTTTAAAAACAGCTTTTTGAAGTTTTTACTTTTTCACTGATCAAGTAGAAAGAAGGGGTTTAATACATCATGAATTTCTTTTCTGTTTCTTTCTGTGTTAAGTTTAAGTTTAAAATTCTTTAAAATAATACATATATCATAAGAAAAACATTTCTTATGCTAGGTAAGTCCACTGTCATAAATGGTAGTTATTATCATTTTTAAAAAGTACATTAGGATATCATAAAAAGTTATAATACACACACACACACACATATAGATATAGATATAGATATAGATATAGATATAGATATAGATATAGATATAGATATAGATATAGATATAGATATAGATATAGATATAGATATAGATATAGATATAGATATAGATATAGATATAGATATAGATATAGATATAGATATAGATGTATATATATAGATATATATAGATATATATTTCAGTTCCTACTGAAAGCATCTACATTTTTTAAAATCAGATTTCATCCACATTTGAAAATAAATCCCATGCCCTCCCCATCAGAAAAAAAAGTAATCATATAGGCCATCAAATTACTAAGTCCAAATAATGTTAACTTACAGCTTCTGATCTCTTTTGGCACTGCTGTATATTGAAAGGGCTATTTGTATAACATTGCTGCAAAAGAGCTTTCCTGTCCAAAGCTGTCACACTGTCCTTGACCTGTTCTTCAACTTGTGCATTCTATGTGTAGAACAATGCACGTGGCACAAATAAACATATTTAGACAGAACAATCAATCTTAACAAAATAATATCAGACTTTAAACCAGTAGTGCACAAAACCATTCTAAAGTTTGGATTAACATAAACTTTGGATCTGGGCAGAAATTTCAAAGCTATATATTATCAGTAAATATATATGAAACAAATGAATAGACAATCACGAATTATTTTACACTAAATGGCATTCTGATACTTAGGAGGTTTTTTTTATGTTTTTCTGAATAGAAAAATAATCACCTTACCAACAGGATATTTCCTTATCCTCCAACTCCAAAATAAAAATCTCAGACCAAATCTTGTTTTTCACCATGGGAAAAAAGCATTTCACTATTACTATTCCTAACTCTCTGTCATTATTAATATTTATTGTTTAAATGTTAGCAAATATTAAAAAGGGATCTAAAAATTGAATTGCTGGTCCAGTGGTATTAGCTTAATTACCTTAATATTAATCAATTAAAACATTTTTGGGATAAAACACACTTGACTATAAGGAAATCATGAACATAAAATAAACTTATCTGTTTTCTATGACCTGTTTATGTGATTCAATATAATTAGTCATGCTAAGATATCCTTATAACACAAATTTTATGCCAGAAAGGACTTCAAAAATGATCAAGTCCACTTTTCTAATTTTCTAAATGAACAAGGTGAAGTTCAGAGAGGTGAGATTAGTAAGTCACAGAGCAATGATTAGAATTCAGTTTTCCTAACTCTAAAGTTCATGCTTTTCTACCATATCATACTATCTTTTTTTTCACCTGAGAACAATGCCATAATTAACAACAGTTGATCATTATTGCACACCTCATCTTCAAAGAGAACTTTGGAAGCCACTGTCAATTGTATTAGCCATTTAATAATTTCCTTCCTCCTCCCAAGTGAAAGATTATAAAGAACCTTTAGAACTCCTCTTTGAAGTAACTTACTATATATGGGTTTTACATTCCAATTACACTTATATATAAGCAAATAAGCCTTACATAAGTGTCATCTTCTCTATAGAACTAAGGAAAATTGGAGAGGTGCTGTGGACTGTAGGCAAAAAAAAGAAAGATATGAAATTAGATTCTGAAAATTATAGGATGGTGAGCTTAGTTCTTGGAAAATTCTAGAAAATATTATTTAAAAGGGAGTGCTCACAATAAGCCACCATGAATTTATTAAGACCAAGCCATAGCAGACTAATTTCATTTCTTTGCCTGGATTACTAAATCAAGGAAATTCTGAAGATAAATAGTTGTACCTGGATTTTACCAAGGCATTTGAGAGCTCATCATGTTCTTGTGGACAAAATGGAAAGATATGAATCATATTTAGATGTACTCAGAAATGACTGAATGAAAGGACCCATAGGGCATTTTTAATGGCTCTGTGTCAAACTGGAGGGAGATGTCCAGCAAAATGACCTAAGATTATTATGCACTTAGCCTGGTTTTGTCTGAAACCAAAGCCTTGGATTAAGCTATGGTCAGCTTGTTTATAAAATTAGAGGATTACTTGAAATTGAAAGGGAGATTTTTTAATAGATAACAGAATCAAGATATAAGATTTTGAATAGGATGGCTCTAATAAGGAAAAAAAATAAATGTGAAGTCTTATATTTGGGTTTAAGATGGGTTCCTCCTCATACGGATGATGGAGAGGAAGGGAGAGAAAAAGCATTGTTCTAGACACTGGGCTAAGTGCTTTTTTTTTTTTTTTACAAATTTTACCTCATTGGATGAAGGATAGGATGGTAGTGAGGAGAGAATTGTTCATATGAAAAAAAAAAAGATTTTGGTAGCCTACAAATTCAGTGTAAGCAAATAGCACAGAAGCATTATGTCCAGATCAGAGAATGATGGTACTACTAGAACATAGACAGGTCTGCTCAGCCTTTATCCAGAGTATTTTATCCAGACTCGAGGACAACATTTTAAGAAGGCCATGAATGAGAAAAAAAAGGTTGACCAGAAGGATGACTGTGTCATAAGAAGAGTGAATGTTCAATTGGGGATGTTTAGTCTATAGTTAAGGGAACGCGCATTTATTAATCATTCACTATGTACCAGGCATTGTGCTAAGCACTGGGGATACAAAGAAAGGCAAAAACAGGCCCTGACTTCAAGGAGCTCACAATTTGCTGGGGGAGATAACATGCAAAGAACTATATACAAGCACGATGTATAATGGCTATGTTGGGAGATAATCATAGGGGGATGATACTAGCATCTAGAGGACTGATAAAGACTTTCTTGTATAGAAAAAGAATATACACATAAAAGAGACATTAGATCTATTCAGCTCAAGAGCCAGAAGGCCTAGAAAGGGTAGAGGTAAGTTCAGGACCCAACCTCTGATACATTCTGGTACTACAGTCCTAGACAGGTCACTTAATCTCTCAGTGTCCCCAGGCAACTGTAAGATTAAGATTATAAATTAGAGAGAAAATATTGATTTGTAATGGTAGAAAAAAATTGTTTCCTCATGAGGAGGATGCCAGTATCCTATACAAATCAAATCACATGTCTAGTTCAAAAATGAGTTCCTTTGTGCCCAGTCTAAAAGGAAAGAGACAGTACTAAAGAACGGTCATAAAAGAGGTAGATTTCCAGTAGGCAATGATTAAAGTGGTTGGAAAATGCAATGTGTTGTACCTTGGGAAGGTAGTAGGTTACCCAAAATTGCCAGTCTTTAGTTGGGGCTGGGTGATCACTTGTTGGAATATTACATTTTTCAGCTAAGTATTTGGACTCGATTACCTCCTATATCTTTTTTTTAACGAATCTGTTACATGACACCAATATTCTTCCCATCAGTGAATATTATATACCTCCACTTTTGGAAAATAACTGTCCTATTCTCACTAGTTTATAAATATTTCCAACAGTAAATGCAAGAGCTGTTACTAACTTATTTATAAAAGAGCTTAGTACTCCCTAACATAAAAGCAAACATATGTTTCCATTTGGATAGAGCATGCAGGGGGAAAAAAACAACAAAAACTTCCACAACATATAATTTGGAATGTTAGGGTATGACCTAGTAAAACAGATGTTAGTGGAAGGCTTTGTTTTAGTTTGTCAATGTGACCATGGTGTATAACATACATATATATTTATACATACATACACACAAACAGATCCTGGATTCCAGCAGAGTGTGAAATTATCTGATACCAGATGGTTATGTTTGTATAAATCTGTTTGGGAGTTTCTTTTACAATACAATTTTAAAGTACACTATAACCTCTATTACTATTATAAGTTTATTAGCTAAACACTGAGCAATTTAAGTGAATTTTTACACATTTGGAACAACTAAAAAAAAATAACTGTTGTTATATACTATTTGTAAAGTTATTAGTTGTTTTTATCCATGCAATAATTTTTAAACAGTCATCCTTTTAGCAACTACACTGTTGTTTAAATGGGCTTTCTATTTGAATATATCCTTTTGTTTATCAGTACACAGATACTATCCTGCTGAAAAAAACTTCTTTTGGAAAAATTTACTCAAAGCTTTTTATGAGAAGAGGAGAGGAGAGAAGAGCCAGCTGGCCATGTAAAGGACACAGATTTAAGGATATATGGTTTTAGCAATGGAAGTGACATTGAAGAAGTTGAATTCCATTTGCTTTCTGCTGGACCTACCCTTCTCATCTGACTTGTGGCCAATACCTTCTATAAGTGTTGTCTCCCCTATTAGAAAATGCTCTCCTTGAGAGCTGGGACATTCTTGCTTTTCTATTTATATTCCCAAAGTTTAGTACAAAAATTTAAACATAGTTCATAGCAGTGACTTACTAAATGCTTGTTTTCTTCCTTTCTACCTTGAAACGCATGTATCCAGTTTTATTAACAAAGAATATACAAATAAAATCAGTTTTAGAACATATGGAGTTTTCAAAAAGTTCAAGTGTACTTTAAAAATTTAACAAATTATATCATAGGTATAATAGAAAATTTATAAGTGGCATGTAAAAGCAAATTTATTCAAACTCAAGATGACAGTATTATATGGATGTATAAAACATACTCAGCTCAGATTCTGAAACAAATAAAATAAAGTCTATCAAAAATGAGAAGGCAAACTGTGTCCTCTATCATAAAGTCCATCTCAGCCGTGAGAAGAAACAAACTTTTATTGCTAAAAAGATTACACATAATGTTTATAACTACAAGGTTATAGTCAGTGCTTCTCAGAAAACGGGCCACAGCACACATATGTCATGAGTTTCAGCAGATATGAGAAACTCCTTCCTATATCTTGGAAATTCCAAATCCTTAAGGCCTTCCACTCAGTTACAGTTTGCTTATTACTCTTCATAGCTTAGCAATGGAAAGGTCACAACAGCAACTTGACCTAGAAAGCAAAAAAAGTCAGCTTCTTCTCTATGAATCCTTGGGAAATAAAGAAAGTTGAAGAAATGTAGGGGAGAGAAAGGCAGTACAAAGAATCCCAACACCAAATAATGGGTCTGGTGACCTGAACTCCCAGGAACCATTTTTCTATAACAACATAAATATATATTTAATGTTTTGCAATTATTGGAGTAAAACAAGAAGAAAGATAAGCAAGCCAAAGAATGATAAGAGTCACTTTTAAAGTTAGGAACATTCAAAACTTTTATAGAGACTCATAAAGATATAGTACAGTACCATTCTATCCATAATCTCTGGAGGCTGCTGCCATGGAACATTTGGTCGTTTCTTCTCTGAATTTATCTGACTATACCACTTATATCCTTCTTTCATTTCTGTCTCATACTGCTGATATTTTTGCTTGTATTTCTGGGTTGGGGATGGCAAATTTTCTGGTATCATTTTCTGTGTTAGAAAAAAATGATAACATTAACTAAAATCACAGTCATTAAGAGATTATTAAAAAAATATGCCAAGACAAAAGCAAGTTTTTTTTAACGTTTCAACAATTTAGCATTTTGTAGAAAATTGACTGGATCTCATAATCTACATTGTAAAAAAAAATCTAAGAAGGGAAGCATTAAGTTCTCTATGAGGATTTTGTTAGTTCTTGATAGAAACAACTTCTTAGTTTCCTATTCTCAAAGAAATCCTTGACAATGTCAATCTCCAGAAGAGAAATAAAAATATCCAGTGATTTTTCTAACACTTCACCTTCTTTTTCTTCCTTCATGTTTCCTTTTACCTTCTTTTTCCACTCTGTTACCATTCTCTCTGCTTCCCTTCCTCATCTTTTTTTTCTTTGTTTATTTCTCATGTCTATCAATGGCATTGATGAGCATAACCTACACATCCCAGTAATGGCTAAAGAAGGTGCAATTTCCCATTCTATAGTAAGAGTTTCTTAATAGAAAAGGGGAGAGGTTCCAACCTCTTTCACTAGAAATGAACAGCACTACTGAAAATATAGGATTTTTTTCAAATTCTTTTTCATCTTTTTTAATACTAATGTTCATTAGATTCCCTTAACAAGGATTCATTCCAATTCCTCATCAGAGTACAGGCATGTCCTTGGGTTCTCAAAGATTATACCAAGTGGAAGGCAAATCTTTGGCAAATATTATCCCAAAACAGAAGGGCTCTGAAGTCAGTCCAGCAATGAATCCTGTATCTTTCATTAAAGAACCAGCATATATATATATATATATATATATATATATATATATATATAATATATATATATAATATTATACACATACATATATATATTATATATACATACATATACATACATATACATATACATATGTGTATATATGTGTATATATGTATATATGTGTGCATATATATGTATATATGTATATATATGTGTGTGTATGTATGCATATGTATGTGTGTATAAATATATATATATACACACACACACACACACACATACACACATACACACAGAGTCTCACCAGAAAGTTGGCCATAAGGGGATTTAATTTTAGTTTAGTTTTCTTATGGCAATGGCAATTGTCATGGTAATTCATGAAAATCATCTACTAGGTAAAAAGAATTTTAGTTCTTCAAAGGTAGGAGAAGCTAGGGGAGCACAGGGGATAGAGTACCAGGCCTGGATTGAGGAAGATTTGAGTTCAAATCCAGACTGAGACACTTTTAACTCTGTAACCCAGGGCAAGTCACTCAACCTCTAAATTGTCTCATCTGTAAAATGGAGATAAGAATAAGATCTACCTCCAAGGGTTGTTGTGAGGATAAAATGAGATAATATTTGCAAAGCAGTTAGCACAATGCCTGGCCCATAGTAAGTATTATGTAAATAGCCATTGTTATTATTATTTAATTTTAGTCTTTATCTCTCCATTGACCTAGCACAGTGCCTGGAACACAGTAAGAACTTAATACATGCTTACTGAAAAAAATGAAAGAGGGGTTGTGATGTATGTTGGAGAAGGTCAGGACCCATATTGACAAAATCATACTTTGTGAAAATATGAAGTAATGGGTTTATTATTTAGGATTGGTGGTAGTTTATGTACAAAGATGTACCTATTTGTAAGATTTTTTTAAGAAAAAAAAACATAACTGGCCACGATGGAAATGGAGAAACTGATTTACCAAAAAGAAGATCATTTTTTTCTTCCTTAAATTAGAAAAAGGTTAAATAGAACCAACTTTCACCCCTTAAAAATCATTGAATTGTATTGAAAAGAAGTTAATTTTACCAAAATTATTATGACTAAATATAATTTAAATTTTGCCACTTATGGTCTGAGACAAATTTGTTACAAAATAGAGTAAATTTGACTTGATAAATAAGTTCCTTCCTAAGGTTATGCCTTGGAAATAGAGCAATTATGTAAATCATTATAACCTAAGGTTATGCATTAATTTTCAAAACTTACAACATAAGATATACATCATTCTACCAACAGGATCTAGTCTAATATGGAAACAATTTCTGGTTTCTCAGGCCATGCATTTGTATAATTTAGCTATTTTGTTATAACTTTTTTTAAAGTGATGCTACATTTTAAGTACTAATTAAAGCACATTATTAATGATCTCCCACATTTGATTGCTTCCAAACTGCAGCTATAAATTTTTAAAAGATAAAAGCTTAATCAAATATAATTTAATATACAAGTATAAGTATAAGCACCTACACACTGAATAATAATTGCCAAAGACTCAATAATGAATTCGCAGATCTCATAGTCTTATCACCTTTATGCAAATAATTTTCAAATCAACTTATATAGCCCGAACCTCTCTGCTGACCTTCAGACTCACATCTCTGTCTTTCAGACACGTCCAACTAAATGCCCAGTAGAAATCTTAAATTCAACATATTCAGAATTGAAATCCTTATCTTAGCCCATAAACCCTCCCCTACTTCCAAACTTACCAACTTACTGTCAAAGGCACCACCATCCTCCCAATCCCCCAGACCCACAACCTAGGTATCTTCTTTAACTACTCACTATGTTCCACTATGTCAAGGTCTGTAGGTTTCCCTTTTGAAATTTCTCTCCAATATATTCTCTTTTCTGTTCTCCTGATCTATTTCAATAGGCTGGTTGGTCTACCTGCCTCAAGTCTCTTTCCACTCCAGTCTATCCTCCACTCAGTCACCACAGTGATTTTCCTAAAGAGCAGTTATGACCCATGTCACATACCCCTACTCAATAAACCCTAGTGGCTCATTCTTGCCTCCGATATCAAATCTAAAATCCTTTGTTTGATATTTGAAGCTCCTCATAACTTGGCCCTCTCCTATCTTTCCAATCTTCTTATTCCTACTTCCCACCATGTAAGCATCGTTCCAGTAATACTGGCCTCTCGGCTGTTCCACTAACAAGACGCTTATCTTTCAGCTCCTGGCATTTTCTCTGGCTGTCTCCCCATGGCTGGAATGCTCTCCCTTCTCATCTCTGCTTCCTGGCCTCCCTAGTTTCCTTCAAGTCCTAACTAAAATGCCACCTTCTACAGGAAGCCTTTCCTGATCTAGTGCCTTGTCTTTGTTGATTATTTCCTATCTATCCTGTGCATAGCTTGTTTGTACAAAATGGTTTGCTTATTGTCTCTTCCATTAGATTATGAATTCCTCAAGGGGAAGGACAGTCTTCTGCCTCTCTTTGTATTCCCACTGCTTAATACAGTGACTGGCACATAGTAGGTGTTCAATAAGTGCTTATTGATTATTGACCTACTGACAAATACTAACCTGCTCATTTGAAAGATCATCAGTATAAGGCAAGCGCACGCCCCAGCTAATAGCTGAAGATGAATAGGGTGCATCAAAGTTAAGATGAACTATACTAAGAGGAAAACCTGTAGGACCATCCTAAAATAAAGTCAAATGGGATAATTTATATCTTAAAGATGACATTTCTCTCAAACACTTATCACACACACACACATCTAGACATGCCTACTGCCCCCCATATACAAATCAAAGTACCTCATCATTGGAGTCTACCAGTCTCCCCAAATCAAGTTGTGGCACACTAAAGGAAACAAAATATGATTAACACAGTTGTGCGTCTGTATGTGTGTATATCTGGGAATTGAATATACCCAGAATTCAAAGATGGATTGCTAACCAATGCCACACACCCACAATGACCCCACAAGCCTATCTAGTTCTGTCTTCTATATTTATAGGAGCCAGAACTTTAGGTTAAGGATTTGATTTCTATGGTCTAAGATACTTTCATCAACTAAGAAGAAATGTGATTCCCAGAGTGGAAAAAGAACACAGCTTAATGTCCTGAAAACTTACATCTGAGATCTAACAAATGTATCCACTTGGGTAAGTCACTTAGTTCTTCTGAGTTCAGTTTCCTCTTTTGTAAAATGGGAATATTTTCCTAATTCACAAGGTTATTATGAGAGTCCAATGAGGTAATAAATGTTTAAGGAGCATGTAAATTATAAAAACCTCATGCAAAAGTTATCATAACTCTTAATAGAATTTGCATACTTGAATTAAAAAAAAAACTTATAACTCCTAAATTTAGAAAAATAAAGGCTTGGCAAAATAATTTAACACAGGGATAGCAGGTGACGCAGTGGATAGAGCACTGGCCCTGGAGACAGGAGATCCTGAGTTCAGATCCGGCCTCAGACACATAACATTCACTAGTTTGTGACTCTGGGCAAGCCACTTAACCCCAATTACGTCACCAAAATAAATAAATAAATGAATGATTGAACATAAATCATAAGAATACATTGTGGGGGAGCTAAATATACATAAAGGGGTAATTATTTAAAAATTAAACTTCATAAAGCAATTAAATTTTTGTAGTCAATGAAAAAAACACTGAAAAAATCACCAGAATTCCTAGACCCAGAATGTTAGGGCCAGAAAAGATCTTAAGAGATGATCAGTTCCATCCTTCTCATCCTATGAATAAAGAAATTGAGGCCCAGAGGTCACAGATCAAGTCTGTAGCAGAGGCAGAGCTTAAGTTTAGGGCTCCTATCTCTCAGTCTTAGGTTCTTTCCATTATGATGTGCTACTTCTATTCTAACTATTAAATTTATATACTTATAAGATTCTTATACTTAGACATAAAAACATTAAAAATGCAAATATTAAGAATAAAAATACTTACTCAGAAGGACGTGAACTATGGCTTGCCCATAATCTGGGTCTCCATCCCTGTTTGTTTTTTTTTTAAATTTAAGAATTGAAAACACACACATATTTAGTCTGTTCTTCAAAATTTCTGTGCTTCAAAAAAAAAGTCAAATAATGCTCTACCTAATAAATACGACTACTATGTGCCTAACTATATGTACATGCATATATGTGTGTGTATGACAATTTTTTATTTCAAAAAACTAGAAAAGTTATGCAAACTATTATATACTCATAGAACCAATGACTTGGCAAAACTGGGTTAGGTCTAGTTTCATAAAATTATATTTAAGTAATCAAGATAGAAAATAAACAGCCCACCAGCTAGTGCTGGTAATATAGTTTATAAATGTCACAAAACACATTATTTCAGTGACAGAGGTACCTAACAAAAATGCTTTAAAAAATTCCTTTAACCCAGTGAAATTATAAGCAAGACTGCTGTGTCTGAAAAATATATTTCTGTCATTCTGATTGATTACTCAAATTCTTGAATTCAAATTAGGCTACATATTAGCTATAATAGATCAAAAATTACCATAATCAGTCAAAAAGTTTGTGAAAAGTTATTAAAAATCACCAAGAGACTTTAATAGGAAAATAATAAGCACATAATACACTCATACACATACACATAAATATGTATGTATATGTAGCCTATCATGTACATATAAAACCAATATATGTGACTATATATATGCATATATGATGTATCCTAAAATAATGTCAGTCTTTTATTACACAATAAAGACAACTTTTAATTACATTCTGATTATACTCTATTATGATCTATTTTAAGGAATTAAAATCAATCATGTATACAATCTCTGGTGTTACCTTTATGGGAATTAGCTTAACTAAAAAGCATATAACTCAAGAGTAGAAGCATCACATTTAATTCCTGAAATAAGAAAACATGATTTGAAAACTATATGAATCAAAGGTAAATGGAATGTACTTCACTGTTCACATACTGGAGTAATAGAATGGACTAACATTTAGGAACTTAGGAGTTCAAGAGAAGGCTTTTTATAAAGAGAAGTAATCATTTTCCTTTACTGTGAGAGATAGCTGGAATTTAATGCATGCTGAGATCCCTGAAAAGTACTCATATGCATCTTCTGGGCAATCTTGTTTATTGCAGAAGTGTACAATGAACTACTTTAGGACAAACAAATAGAAGGCATAGATGACCCAGTAGAGGACCTCCTCATCTTCAGTCTTTCCAAAATAAAGGGGTTCTATCTGACCAATCAGGAATAAAAAGAATTGCCTATAAGAATCCTTATTTCATATGACATATACACACAAATTATCAGACCTTAAATTTAAACTACATTATAAAGAGGCATTGTTGAAGTGTAAAAAGGCAAATAATAGAGAAAATGAAATGTAAAGGTAAGCTGCTGTCATATTCAAGTTTTAAAAGAATGTAAGAAATATAAAAGAATATAAACAATATAAAACTTTTAAGCATACTCATTTGTACCTAGTAAGGGATTTGAGGCTTTGAATATAGCTCACCAACATATGAAAAGGCCAGGAAACCAGCTAAACCCCCTGCAGACTTGTCCCCAGGGCACAGAATGTTTCTGTATCATCAGGAGAGGCTTAAGAATTTTAAAATCTTATGAACCCTAACCTCAGAACTTTTAGTGACTTTCTGGTGAATGGCCATTGCCTGGTTATAATCTAGGCTACAAAGATGAAGGTTTGGGAAATGTGCTAGTCACCATAAATTAGGGTGAGGGCTCTCGGCCCTGAACTACAAAGTGTTGTTGAAGGAAATTTTCAAGGTCTTCCTTACTACTTGCTGCTTGCCAGGTAATAAGACTCAGAGCTCAAGCCCTGTAGAAGAACTAAGGAGATTTCAAATCTGGCCTCAGACCAAACATTTGACACTAGCTGTGTGACCCTGGGCAAGTCACTTAACCCCAATTGCCTTAAAAAAAAAAAAAGTTCAGCCGTATCCAAATGAGTATTTTAACAGAGCCTGGAGGTGCTAGAGAATAAAAACAAGTAGTGAGCCTGGCAGAATTTCCACAGAGCACTGAAATATTAGTAGCAAGTTGCCTTTTTCACAAATGTATCATTAGAGTGTGCCTCACTGCCGCTGATCTAAGTATGAGTCCACAGACATGGTATTTATTTGTGGGAGAATATTCACCAGTTCTATAGAGCGAATGTTTTCTTCCTTATGTTTCCGCTATTCCGTCTTATTAAAAGCTTATAATGTCTATTGGGTGTTTGTGTATGGGAAGTGTACTTGTAGACATTCCTGAGCTTTACAGTCTAAGAAGAGAAACCTCACAGTCTGGTGCTAGAACCATGAAGTAGCACCTCTGGGACCTAAGCTACCAATGTGAGTGCAGATTGTGGGAGAAGCTCAGTGTGGGTACCACAAAGGTAATTTAATAGTATTATGCACTAAGAGTTAATAAATATGAGAAAGTCAATGAAATGTGGGTAGATTTCTATAAGCTTTTACAGAATCAAATATGTATTTTTGTATATTTATATACATATTTGAAGTATGTGATTTCATAGAATATGCTGCTTAAAATAAAAATCTTCCATGAATATGTTAAAATAATAAAATATTCCTTGAAGAATTCAGCAGAAAGAATTTTGTTCAACAATCTTCTAACTACTAACATCAAGCCAGTCATAAAACAGAGGGAGTTCATGGCTGCTGTCATGGAGAATGTCCAGTACAGAGTATAAATGAAAGAAGTAATTTCTATCCAGAAGCTCCTGTTTGCAGATGACATAATGTTGGTTGCCTCAGATCCCAGAACACTGCAAAGCCTTCTAAATAAGACTGATAATAATTCAAAAGAGGTCAGCCTATCCAAATAGGAAAAACTAAGCAGAAAAAAAATGTCTATTACCCATATTATGATATCTTTTGGCTGGATGGCCTCTGAATTGGACCCCAATTGATCAACTCTCTCTCTTTTTTGGAGGGGGGGGGCAAAGCAATTGGGGTTAAGTGACTTGCCCAGAGTCACATAGCTAGTAAATGTTATGTGTCTGAGGCTGGATTTGAACTCAGGTCCTTGTGACCCCAGGGTCAGTGGCCTATCCACTGCTCCACCTAGCTGCTCCCAGACCCACAATTGAACAAGATGGAAACAGCGGTTTACATAGCCTTTAAGAAAATGTGTATGGCTTTTAGTGACCTTACACTTCTCCCTGAGAAAAAGGCCCTTTTCTTTTAACAATAATATTCTCTCAGTGATATTTTGTTTCTGAAAGTCACAAAATGCCACAACCTCCAAAGAACTAAAGTTGAGGTACCACCCAAAGGACAATGGAGAGGTATATGATGAGTTTGTAAATGGTAAAACATTTTAATGAAGAATTGTATTGGGAAAGTAGCATAAAGAATGTCATCAGATATGTATGAATGGAAAAGAAGGTGATTTGGCGATGTGGGGAGGGTCAAGGGAAAATAACAGATAGCCTATGCACTCCATTGGTATACATACAATGTGAAAAATTCTGTAAGAACTAGAAGGAGATCATCTGTGGAAGATTTATGGAAGGATATAGAACAAAGTCACACAGAATCAGAAGCTATGGATGGGTTCTGATTTGTGCCAATGAAAGGAGGGCCCACATCAATGTATCTCCACGAAAATAAGATTCTGAGAATCACAGAATGTTGTAGCTGGCAGGGACTCTTAAAAGGTGGTTCAGTCAATTCTCCTTATTTTAAAGATGAGGAAAACTGGGGCCCAGGAAGATTAAGTGACTGATGTACTTCGCACATTAATAAATGTTTGTGGCAAAGTGAATTACCCAAGGACACACAATGATTTAAAGGCAAGTTTCCTAACCACAGTTACTTCTAAACTACTACAATTTAAATAATAAAAAAACTGGCATATAACAATTAAAAATATAATTTGAACCCTAAATTGTAGTAAACATACTTGCGTATGCTTCTTGTTTCTGGAGACTTGCTGGGTTAGACTCTTAGGGGAAGCAGAAACTCCTTTAACCTCTAAATTCATTTAAATGCAACTATATGTCCTGCAATATACTAAAAAAGAAGAAAAGGCAAGGTAAAATACTATATGAAACTCTGCATAAAAGACCAATGCAATGTATTACAATTGATAGTAAAAGAAATCAGCAAAAGGATTAACACCACACCTCCTTTAAAATCTGTTCCCTTATTCACCTTTCCCATTTTCTTTCTCTTCACTGCCACTGAAATACATTCTTCCAACTGTCTTTCCTAGAGTCTTTTTATACCATTTTTTAAATTAAAATTTAAGGGCTATGTTTTTCTGTTGGTGAAAATATATTTGTCTATATCTGTGTTTAATTACTTAGTCCACTATGGTGGATAAAAGAAATAATAATTACATTGAGCAGGGGGTGAGTAGAGAACATAAAATGGGAAAATATAGTAAAAATTAATCCACTTTTGAGGACAGATAAATTTTTTAAAATGGATCAGTGCCTGTACTACACAAGGTTTGGTGATTTTATTAAAGAGTTTTTGCCTGCTCTTATCTTGCCAACAATGCATCTTTGTCCAAAAGTTCACTCCCCATTTAGTAATGGAAAGAGAACATCAGCTTGCTTGCATTTGCTTCACTTGGCATTCATGTCCCATGAACTGTTCTCACCCAAGATTTCCCACTTGGGCACCTTCCCATCCCCAATCTAACTGGCCTACACCTCTGCCCCCATCCAATTATTTTCCCAAAACCTTCAGAGGGACTATTGATTCCACTTATAAAGAGTAAGAGAAAAGCTTCTTGAGCTTGCCAGCAAGTGTTTGACAGTAATAAATAGATGACCTCCAGCCCCCAGCCCTTCCCTACCCATCCACCAATAAAAGACAAACATTTTTTTGAAAGCCACACCCCCTTATTTTAGCTTATTATGCTTAACCACCAGAACTGTTACACCTCTGCTACTGGTCCAAATATACTCAAATATACACTGGTGTCATTGTTGTTCATTCAGTTATGTCCAAATCTTCATGACTCCCTGGACCATAGCATGCCAGGCCCTTCTATCCTCTACTATCTCTCAAAGTCTGGCCAAGTTCATATTTGTTATTTCCGTTATACTATCTACCATTTCACCCTCTGCCATCCTCTTTTCCTTTTGCTTTCAATCATTCCCAACATCAGGGTCTTTTCTAATGAGTTCCATCTTCTCATTAATGTGGCCAAAATATTTAAGCTTCAGCTTCAGTGTTTAAACTTCTGGTGAATAGCCTGAATTAATTTATTTAAATATTGACTGATTTGATCTCCTTGCTGTCCAAGGGACTTTCGAAAGTCTTCTCTAGCACCAAAATTCAAAAGCATGGATTCTGCAGTATGCAGCTTTCCTTATAGTCACACAGCCACACATTGCTACTGAAAAAAACCATAGTTTTGACTATACTGACCTTTGTCACAAAGTGATGTCTGCTTTTTAGAATGTGTCTAAGTATATACTTGAATACATTTAGGCACCACCAGGAGCAATATTTGCTGTTGTTGTTGTTTGAATGCTGTTAATGGGAGGTTCAAAATTAAATCTTGGACACTTTTTTTTTATATCCCATAGGTAGTTCCAACTTCACAAACACATATGGCACGTACCTTAGTCACGAACTATGGCAGGCCGTGGAGGGACAGAGAAAAGAAAGGGCTGGGTGAAATAAGGAAATGTAAATATACCAGAGAAAACTAAAAAGCTATTCAAGTGTAGTGTTTCAGAAAGTCACTTAGGCTAAAATCAGGCCAGAAACACATCTAAGACATCTTTCCCAGTTCAGGACAGTTTGTAGTTTCCAAAAAGACCAGCGTCAATTCTCCCCTCCTCACGGGACGGGGAGGTGGGTGGAGGAGCGGCATTCAGATTGGTTAAAATGCAGGACCCCTAGAATGGATCCCAATGTCACCCTTCTCCCATCCCACACCATACCCACAGTGGGGAGGGAGGCATAGGGGATGAAGGGCTCGAAGACCCACCTGATGTCCTTGGGACCGGCGATGGACCCAGTCCGGAGATGAATTGGAACACAAGGGTATGAGGCTGAATGAGGCAGGTAAAAGACTCTTCTTCCTCTTCCTTCAGGAGTCTCACTTAAAGAGAAAACTTTCTCTTTGGCTGATTCTAGGACTCCTGCAAAGCGCAAAGTCTCTGCGGTCCCGGGCACTAAGCGGTTTGGGGTCAACTCTTGGAGGCTGGTAATCGAGCCCCTTTGGTAGGCGCGCTGGACAGCAGCAAAGCAGGCAGAGGAGTTACTTGGTTGCCTAGAAACATATGGACGCTTCCTCCCCTAGCGCTGCGTCTCCCCCACGCCCAGTCCCCGGCAGATGGGAGGGAACTGAAGGTCTTAGGCCCCTTTGCCTGCCTTTCTCTTTTCTCTACTTGCACCACCCCTCCCTCCCCCACAAAGGCTCTGCACCCACCCCACTCCGGAAGAAAGTGGAAAAGCGCATTCTCCTCCCCACTAGCAGGCAGGATAACCTGAAAGGCGGTGACTGCCCTACTTGCTTAAGCACCTCTACATCTGCCCCCTCAGCTACCGTAGACCGGGGGCGAAGTGATCTACTCGGCAAGTAAGGCTATAGGACGCCGGAAGGGGACCCAGTAGGCCTTGGGGGCAAAAAGGGTGCTTCCTGCACCTTCCGGAACTTAAATAGGTATCAGAAGGCGGATTCTGAATCTCCAAGGTATTTAAGTTAAGATAAACTGTCTTGTCTATGCAGATAGGTGACAGTGGATACTCACTTAACCCTGTTTGCCTCAGTTTCCTTATCTGTAAAATGAGCTGGAGAAGGAAATAGCAAACCATTCCAGGATCTCTGCCAAGAAAACCCCAAATGGTGACACAAAGAGTCAGACACGACTGAAATAACTGAACAACAAACTCTCATCTAATGGAGATGGCAGAGCAGGTCCAGAGTACGAAGGTCTCATTAAAATGAATAATATTCACATCAAACATCAATCGGGCCCTTCTAGGGACCTGAAAAGTCATCCAGTTCAATCTCTTCTGGTTACAAATAAAGAAAAACTAGGGCCCAGAGAGGTTAAGTGATTTACCTAGAGTCTCAAAGCAAGTTCTTGGCAACTAAGCAACTACAAACCTTATTTCAACTCCTAATCCTCAGCTGTTCCACTACTACAACATGCTTGTCTTCTAATATCCTTGAGGAATATTTAAATGCAACACTCCTTGAAAATATTAAATTTAACTGGGTAGAAAAACATGAAGATGAGGTGGAGTGGTAGTGATGAAAGTCCAGGAAAAGGAAATCTGTATTGTTTTCAGATAACTAAGTCCTAAATTTGAAGGCTCCCCTAATGAATGGATCATGTGCAATTGCAAGTTGACAAGCAGTCAAAATATCAACGCGTATAGAATTAGTGGAACTTGTTGTAAGGTTTCCTGCTGCCTTCCTTCTTGGGACATAAAACCAATGGGAGACAAGCAGAAGAGAATATAAAAAGGAAAATCATAATTGAAATTAAATGTGTAGCACCCATGCTGTGTTACCCTCCAACTTGTACTCACCCTGGCAAGTTGCTCCATGTTCACCAAGGGTGGCTACTGCAATGTTGGAAGGTTGCTCTATAAGTGTTCTTAAATTGGAATTTATAAGCCCTCACTAGTGAGCTTATCTTTCTGACCCAGATATGGATCCTGAAAGTGATGCATTCAGTGAAGGAAGCTTGGGGGGGGGGGGGGGTTATTCATTTATTTTGATTTATCAACAATCACTTCCATATTCTTTTGAGTTGAAAATTTTTCTCCCCCTTCTCCCCCCCCCAAGATGGCACAAAATCTGATATAGGCTTTACATTTACATTCCTATTAAACATATTTTCACATGAGTGAAGTTGTAAGTAAAAATTAAAACCAATAGGAGGAACCATCAGAAAGATGAAACAAAACTCAACAGAAGGTAAAAATAAGTGATAGTGATTCAACTTCCATAGTTCTTTCTTTGGATGTGGACAGCATTTTCCGTCCCAAGGCCTCTGGAGATGTCTTAGATCCTTGTAATGCTGAGAAGGGTTCAGTTTAACAATATTAGTCATTGAATAATGTGGCTGTTATTGTGTACAAAGTCCTCTTGGTTCTGCTCACTTCACTCAGCATCAGACCATATAAGTCTTTCCAGGTTTTTCTGAAGTCAGCCTGTTCATCATTTCTTATAGCACAGTAGTATTCCATTACATTCATACACCACAACTTGCTCAGCCATTCCCCAATTAATGGGCATCCTCTCAATTTCCAATTCTTTGCCACCATAAAAAAGAGCTGCTATGAATATTTTTGTACATGTGGGTCCTTTTCCCATTTGTGTGATCTCTTTGGGATATAGCCCTGGAAGTGCTATTGCTGGGTCAAAGGGTATGAACATTTTTATAGCCCTTTGGGCATAGTTCCAAATTGTTCTCCAAAATGGTTGGATCATTTCACAACTCCACCAACAATGTTTTAGTGTTCCAATTTTCCCACATCTTCTCCAACATTTATCATTTTCCTGTTTTGTCATGTTGGCCAATCTGATAGGTGTGATGTGGTACCTCAGAGTTGTTTTGATTTGCATTTCTCTAATCAATAACGATTTATAGCATTTTTTCATATGACTATAGATGGCTTTAATTTCTAGTGAAGGAAGCTTTGTATGCCTTATTAGAAAGAAGGGGACCTGAACCTAGAAGCAATTCCTTTCCTTCCCAAAACTGCTATAAAGACTTCTAGGATACAGAATCAATCCACAGAACTGAAACATACTGACAGCCAACCTGATATCTCAGGCGTAAACACACAAGTCTATAATGATACTGATAGTCAGCCCATACCCACTACCAGCTACTCTGGTACAGGAGCTAAGAGATTTGTCAGAGAGAGAATCAGGCCTATTAACAGACACTATGCTAAGTTATGATGTTACTGGTAAATCTGAAGATATGGCTACATATGTATCTAGGTGACAACACTAGAGATTATCCATGTGAAATGTGCTTTGACTGTGATTGCACATGTTTACTGCTGTACATGGGACAGCAAGGTGGCACAGTGAATAGAGCACCAGGCTTGGAACCAGGAAGATTCATCTTCCTGAATTCAAATCTGGACTCAGAGGCTGACTAGCTATGTGACTCTGGGCAAGTCACTTAATCCTGTTTACCTTGGTTTTCTCATCTGTAAAATGAGCTGGAAAAGGAAGTGGCAAACCACTGCAGTATCTTTGCCAAGAAAACCTCAAATGTGGTCAAAAAGAGTCAGACATGACTGAAATGAAACAATATTGCTGAACTTGTGAATGTATAGAATGCCATGCATGTGTAAGTATTCGGTTTTTGTTTTTCTGTTATGTTCATTTGGTTCTGTTTTGTGTTATGTCAGGAATGTAACAATGTCTATTCATTGTTTTGCATATATGCTAATATTTAGAGATAAGTTGGACTTTATATATAGGCCAATTGATAGTGTTCGTGTTGCAGCTAGCTAGCTTTACTTTGTTAATTAGCCATGTTTATTACTTTTGAACGATTGATTGCTGGGTACTATGGCTACGCATGTACCTTTTGAAATGTGCGTTGTCATGTTCTGTATATAGTCAGGCATGTTATCGCTGTAGTTTCCTCCCAGGTGTGCTCTGCATAGTGCCGTGTCTACTGACTGTACTGTTAATGTGTGATGCTTTATTTTCAGTACCTGGGAATAGCATGAAAATCACCCTTGTTTTAAAGTGTTTGTATTGATACTGTATAGTTACAGGTTTTGGACTTGCTCCAGCTATTCTTCACAAGGTACTGCAAAGAGTTTCAGCCCAAGGAAGGAATATAACCTGAGTGCCGAAGCCCATTGATATGGATATCTTTCCTCATTAGTGGAGATAGATTCCTTGAACCTAGGGATTCCTCTACTTTTAAACTATCAATAAGGCTATCTCCACCCAGACGCAAGTCCACCTACTGTACCCAATTCTCAGCCCACTTTCTTTGTCCTTTCATATGCCAATGGGCCAATGGGAATCCTCAAAAGGGAGCATCTTTTTCTCTGTTACCTGCCCATTACCTCCTATAATCTTGTCAAATGAATGGGTAGGCGGGAGATGGAGGGAGGACTCAGCTAATCAGTAGCTAGCTCTCTAAAAATCTATCGTTGCTGTTGTTATTTAGTCATGTGACATCATTGTGGGGATTTTCTTGGCCGATATTGGAGTGGTTTGCCATTTCCTTCTTCAGCTCCTTTTACAGATGAGGAAACTGAGGCAAACCAGGTGGTTGGAAGTGACTTGTCCAGAGTCACACAACTGGTAAATGTCTGAGTTCAGATTGAATTCATGAAGGGGAGTCTTCCTGATTCCAAGCTCAGTGCTCTATCCATTGTACCACCTCAGAAATGACACAGACAACAGTAGAAAGAGGTATGATGGAGAGAGGGTGATTAATAAATGGCTATAGATCTAATGGTGTTTTGTAAACTGAATGCAATTTCTGAAAAATAAAAAAATAGAAAATTATGTTTTTAATTACAATTTTTGACCAAGCTGATACTAACGATCACTGTTGATATTTGAGTATAAGTTAAGATTTTACAAAGAAGATTATGTGCACTATGCATGTTTCATTATAATATGAATGATATTTCTTGGCACATAGAGGTAATAAATACTTATTGAATTGAATTATATAACATTTTAAATTCATTAGCTAAAAGCATTTAATTTATTTGAAAGCAGTAGGATCTTAGAGAATTCCTTTTCATACCAAAATCAATGGATGAAAGTAAGAATATATTGTTCATTTCTGAACAATGTAACTGATTCACATAATGGATTTAAATCATTTAGATTAATGTCCTGAAATTGCAAAGTGAAATTTCTAGCCTTCAGTATACTAGCAACATAATTCTACTTCTAAGGATTTTATATTCCTGAAATGATAGGATTGAGATAATACAAAAGGCAAAAGAAAAATTTACAGAGGTGTTTTGTTTTTTTCACAAGTTATCAGGCTGTGACAGAACTAAAGGCTTCTTCAGTGGAAAAATGACAATTTTTGGTAAGTTTCATTTTCACCCTTTCAAGTAGTCAACCTTTTTTTCAAGGTGAGGATATGCAAGCCATTGATTTGTTGTTAAAGATCTTGGCAATATTAGTCTGTTGCTTAGATAATAAAGAATAATTAAAACTATCCTTGGTTTTTATGCTCTTATTCCCCTAGAGGTAGCTAATAATATGTGTA